GGAACTTCAACTTAGTCGCGGGAGCTATTCGGACTAGTTGGTCAATTTGGGGCGGGTCTGGATGAGAGAGATGAAAAAAGAATAATAATAAAATAATTCGATCGATGAAAAAAAAAAAAAAACTAAAACTAAAACAGGTGGGCAACCGAGTGAAAGTCGAAAGCGGTTCGAGAATTCAACGGTGGGAGACCGATAATAGACAAAGGAAAAAAGAGACTTGATGATGGGGAACAATCTTCACGCACTGAAGAGGGATGAGAGAAAGCAGATAGGCATTAATTGATATGATCGAAGGTGATACCTCCTAGCCTGGTGAAAAAGGGACAGTCGTTAAGAGGGCAAGCAGGCTGTAAGTAATGGTACGGGGCGGCCCTGGAGCGCAAGGCAAAGGTACCGATGCAGCATCGCAAGCAATTAAGAATGACGAGATCGAGTGACAGATGCAGTTTACCTAACGCCAAAATAAAATTAAATTAAGGGCTGGAACAAAATAAATACTATTAAGGTAAAATATAAAAAAAAGGTCGTGGGATTCGGAGAGTGAAGGACGGCCAGGAAAGGAAAAATAAAATAGATTAAAAAAAAAAGGTGGTGCCGCCCACTCTCCCTCTCTGTCACCCCTTCCTTCCCTCCAACTTTTCGATGTAGGTAGTAGGTACCTATGAACGAAAGAAGGGCACTCATCTATCAATAATAATAAGGATTGCTTCGTACTTAGGACTGCCAATTCCCCTCTTCCGCCGTTTTTTTTTGCTTTTTAACCTTTCCCCTTCCTCATTTAAATTTGGATATATACTCTATGGCTTGAGGTCAGGGAAGATTACTGTTCGCTGCCGAATGATTTTGTCTTTCGTCTATCTTGTCCGCTCCCCAGCCACATGAGACACTTCCCTTTTATACGAAAGTGAAATATTGGATGGGTAATTAGACACCTGACAAGTACAGTCCTGTACGAAGGTCACAGAGACATGGGCGATAGATAGTCACTTGGCGCTGCGGACTCGACCAAGTACGTGGTCAGCACTGGTCGCCAGTATCTCAGCAAGATCATCCACTAAGGGCGACGATTTTCTCCATGACTCCAGGAGCCTACAGACTATTCAATACTTCCATATGATAGATAACTCACAAGATAAAAGACCGGAGGGCCGCCTAGCATAGGTCATAGAAGGGGAGCCCGTCTGGAAGCAGCCAAGCATTGGACGGATGGGCACTACTGCGCGAAAACAGACGAGCAAAACAAATTAGTAATAATGTAAAATTCAAAATCCCAAAATCGACGGGGAGTCCACCGCCACGAGGCGGCCATTTCTGGGGCTCCGACCCAGGGAAGAGGCAGAGCCTGTCGCCAGCTGCTCATTCATTCCCTGGGTTGCAGCTCTGCCACAATTTTTAGATTAAGGCCGAAGAATGGTCGGTTCTTCACATCAGACTTTCCAACACGGTTTTTCCGAGTCCCAAACTCTGCCGGTCGACGCGTCGAGGTCCAGCCCAGTCACATACGCCGTCAACGACCGATCAGTGTAAATGTCAGGTACCAAACTTGAAGTTGCTTAGTCCTCCACTAGCGATTTAGCGCATCGGATAGCTCTGCTGGGAGTTTAAAGGACTTGCTGCTTCGCTTTCCCTTTTCTCGGCATGATCAGAGCCACGTTTGACAGTTCCTCGTCCCTCCCAGGGAATTATTGGGACTAATGACGCCTTGTGCCCACCCCGTCACTATGTAGATAGACATTGCAGGTTATGGTCGCTGCCGTCTGCCCTGGCTCATGATACATACGATATTACCTCACACCCCACAGAACCTTGTACACTTGTAGTACGTAGGGGTACTGTAAGTATTCGCCAATCGCTCGATCGCACCGCAAACGAACAGAAATCTCTTTCCTGGACGTGGGATCATATGTATCTCCGATGGAAAGCTCGAACGAGACTTATCCTAGTTAGGTAGTCTCAGAACCTGCCCTGGGCAATTCTCACGCAGATCGTACCGAGGTTACCTTGCACGCAGGACGCTGAACTCCAGACGGTCCCTATGGGATCAGTTTTCCCGTCGATGATAACTAGCTAACCGGTCCCATCGGGGAGAAACTGAATGGAGAAGGATGACCACGGGAAAGAAAAAGCCTCCCCTCGAGCCGAATCCTTCTTGACTTACGGAACAGATTCATAGGTAGAAGGAGACTAGAGACTAGGAGAGGCCCTGCGGCCGGGAACGACGATTCAAGACTGACTGACATCGCCCATCGGCCATGGGGAGGGGGCCCCACGCACCTACTAGGCAAGTCGGGATCCATAACTTTCCCATCCAACGGGAAAAGTTTGTGTTGGAAACTTGGGCTGGGGATTTGGGAGGGGCCCAGGGAGATTGAGCCTTTGAGGGCACTAAGGCAAGGCCAAACCCGCCTACTTTGACCCCTTTGGGTAATGGGCTAGCCGGATGGGGGAATCGTAGCTCAGACCAGCCGGGAAGTGGGGCCCAGAATGGATGGAAAGTCGATCCAGCTCGGGTGCGCCAATCAGCGGCCGGGCCGCTGGCATGGCAAATGCACCCTCCACGCCTGCAAAATGTCCCGTGGGCTGAAGAATCCCCGGCACTCGAACCATGACGGGAGAACACGTTGTTGAGCGCCTGTCCCAGGCATTCCGGGGGGGAAGGGGCCTGCCATGCTAGGGATTGACTTCCCAGCAGCTGGCTCGAGGTACCGTACCAGGGGTCCAAGGTGCATTGTGTGCAGCTGCTCATTACATCACAGGCCAGAGTCTCTGCATCATAGGAATTCGCGCCCGTCGTCGCGGTCGACCGCATGGCCTAGAGGCCTTCAGCGTTCGACATATGTAAGTAGGACATGCATCGAGGGTCAAAGGGCGGTTTGCTTTAGGCCTGGGTCTAAACTGGATTTAGCAATCCGGGCCACTCTGTCAGTGTCAGAGACTTCTTGGTCGAGTAAGCTCCATCGGTTGACTTTCCTCTTGGCTCCCTCGACATCATTGAATTTGCTCCTCTTGCATGGTTGCTCACATGTGAGAAGAGATCAACAGGATCATGGACAGATGGCCAGGACATACTGGATGAGTGGTTCCAGGACAAGAAAAAAAAAAGAGGATAAACGTGGCTACCAGATCACCCGCCTGATCCTTTCCAGGACAAAGCAAAGGCCAGCATCGGTCGGCAACGATCTCGATGCGAACTGCCTTCACGTGGCTGCACTGAGCGATCGGCCTCAGGGGTCCCACGGCCTGCGAACTGCCGTAAGCGGCGTAAGCGTACCGTATCAGGCCTGAGGGACTAGAGAGACACTCGGTCAGTGTCCACGGTACCACTCCGTTCGAAGCGGTGGTACTAGGCCTCCTGCGTCTGCCTCCTCCTTGCAGACCATTCAGGTCTGGAACTAGGCAGATTTCGCGAGGTGCTGATGTCAAAGTCACCAGGAGCATAGGTCTATTGTGAATTCCTCTTGAGACAACCACTCCGCGGAGGGTATCGGTATCTTTCGCTCTAAAAGTATGTACCCTGCAGTCAGCCTTTGAAGCCCATCGAAGGCCTTATAACGGTTGTCAAAGCTCTGGCAACACTAAATCGTGCACAGGCCTGAGTGGCTACAATGGTTGGTTGGTAGTAGTTGGTCATGGTCAATAATACCTGCCCGACATGGAATTTACATCGTACAGTACCACATGGGCTGATTGCCCAATTCTCCCCAAGCCCAAAAAAAAGAAAGCGGATGGGATAGAAGGCATGAAATGAAAAGAGAGAAGAAAAAAGCAAGGGCCGAGGAAATTGCAAGATAATTCGACTTGGTATTGTTGCGGATTGTCAATTGTGCTTGAGCCTTGGGGAGTGTTGAGTGGCAGGCCCAATCAGCCTAAAGCACGATTGATTTGGCTTTGGAGCAGCCGACACATGGCAACCATGATGGAATGATCGCCGCTAAGGGGGGTTCTGGACATACGACGGTTGGACCGGTGCAGCCACACGGCGCCAAGAGCTCGCAATCCGAACGGGTCGGGTCATCAATAGTGGTGAAGTCAGACAGCATCAGTGTAACCACTGGCTGCATGGGTCGTTGCCGCCCGTGGCCAACGAGCAAACACACCCATACACCACATCCTCTCGGATGCAGGGAGGCACCAATAATCAGACGCTCAGCACTTGATTTACAGGCAGCCTGTATACCCCCGCTCCGGTGGAATGTGACCATCCGACATGCGCATGTACGCACTACGCAGTAGTAGATACATGTGGGCAATGTGCATCCGACCAGAATATCATCAGCATCAGCATCCGACCATCTACATACGTCGCTGTACCTATGATCTACCTGGCTCCCTTTCTAGATAGTTCCTGCCCTTGCCTGCCAAGCGCTGTATGTCGATCCCACTCCATGCATTGTCTGATATGATCCCCGTTTCAGTAGTCGCCATGGCCACTGAGGATCCGGGGCGAGTCAGTGACCGAGTCAACTGGCTGCTTCCATATCCCTTCCTTCCTTGTCACTGCCACTCTTCTGCGGCGTGTCAGAATGCTTCCACACATGGAGCGAGAAAGAATGTGGCGTCTATCGGGAGTCCCTGAAGCTTCACCGAGCACCTTGAATTGGTGTCACCTGCAACCCTTGCTCCTCGTACCTTGTGTGGTTTCTTCCCTCTTCGGGTGATTTTGCCTCCCAGGATCGACTCGCCGAGGGTCTCCACTTCACTCCAATTAGCCGCGAATAACCTCTTCAGTCTTCAGACTTCACCCTTGCTCAGCGCGAGAGGGGAAGGAGGGGGCGAGGTCACTGTTGGCGGGTGATTGCTAAGCCCAAACATAAAGTTCGATCTTATCACCGGAAACTCCCACCCATTCGATTCGATTTTCTAAAGGATGCGATGGGAATGCACTAGGGCCCTTCATGACAGGTACACCAGCTACAATAGGAATATGTAGGATGGGTCCAGTGTCCACGATGCCATGTTTTTTTTTCTTTCTTTTTCTAAATCAATTTCCCTCGGGCTGTCCGGTGCAGATCTGCCAACAGAATTTCCCCGCTAGCGTGGCGGACCCGGTCGAATCAGCGATGCTGGCAGGACGCCCCGGTGGTACACAACCAGTACAAGGCCACCGCGCTGGATGCGCCTAACACCAGCTAGGTATCTACTACTAGGTAGCTACCTGAGCAGCCTGCATCATGCTCTGTAACGTAACTCAAGGGCGACTGAGCAGGTACCTGTCACAAGTCACAATTCACATTGACTGCTATTGCTAGTAGTCTGCTCCGTTCCCTTCACTGAATCCAGTGAATAGATGAATCCACCAGCTCACAGTCTCCACAATTCCTCCAACCGTTAGGATTTCCCTGTGGAGGGCAACACGCGAGCGCCCCCAAACTTAGGACGGTCGGAGTCGGAACCGGAGTCGGAGTCGGATCTGGACCGGATGGAGACAGTCGAATCCTGGCCCATGCAACGACCCGCTTCCTGGTTGAATTGGGGATGAGGGATGAGGTTTGTCGGGTGTTCAGGCTGGTGGTGTGTGCCGTGAATTATTGGCAATTGGCAATGGGATGGATGGATGGATGAAATGAGACAATCTCAACGGCTCGTGGGATGAGCCCGATCCCACCTTTTCCCCTCCTCCTGCCCTTCCATTTTACCCGCCTCATCAATCATCTTCCAGCATCAACAGGCCGATGTGACAGGACAAGGGACCCCGGCGGGTGGAGACGGGCGCCCACTCAATCACCGGCCGTCACTTGGGTACACCACCTGGCCACGAGATTAAGCGGACTTCTGAATCGACTCTTGAGTCTTGACAGGGGAAGAACTGGCCGGACCGGGGTCGCTCGTGCAGGATTAGGCCATGTGCTTTCATCTATTTGACACCGGGCTTTTTCAGCACCTGCCTGAGTCGGTATAGACTTGGACTCGGTCTGCATGGAGGCATCTTTCTTTACCCATGCGCCCCCCTCCTCCTCCTTCCCCCCGACTTTTCCTCAGTGCGACTGACGAAGCTGCCGCCCCTGCAGCTGCTGAAGGATGTTCTCCCCGAGGCTGTCAGCTCGAACTAATCTTAGTATCCTAATCCCTAGTATCCTATCCTATCCCATGGACCATATCCTGACAAATCCCCATTGGCGCTCGTGGGCCAGACTCGGGGGTTCTGCACCGTGCTCGCTCGATTAGATTAAGTCCCGGCGGATATCTCAACGATAAGCCGGATGGTTACATTGACCCTGTCAATACCTGCGTCAGCACTTAGTGTCCAAACTCCAAAGTTCAAACTCCAAGGCTCCTGGAGCGCCTCATCCAGGCCCAGGCGACATGGCTTTCTTTCCCAGCAAACCACAAACTGGTGAATTGCTAGGCAGGGTCTAGCTTTGACATGGATATGATCTAGCTACATCCATTTTCTACAACCGGGATCGCGGTTCGGATTGTAAACGCAAATGCTCGGGGTGAACCTGCCCATGTCCGATGCAGATGACTGGACCCCACGGCTAGAGTCATCCTATCGACAACATGCTTTGGCTTTGGCGCTTGCCATGGCGATTATGTCATCTTGAATTAGCGTCGCGCGATGAGGAGATACGGACAGTCGGCGGCCACAACAATGCTCGCCAGCTGCCTACTATAGCCATAGCCCCGGTGGGCGGAGTTCTCCGTTCAGTTTCGCCCAATCTACTGCCCGCGGAAACATCTCCTCAAATGGTATATTAAACGGAATTGATCTTTGCCAACCAGCTATCTGACTCAGCGGGTCAGGGTGAATATGAACCGAGGCATCCTTCGATAACTACTCCGTACTATGAAACTAGTCGCCACGGCCGTCTCGGGGGGGCCGTCGGATCCTTAGCCATGTCATCGATCGATCCACCGGCCTAATAAGCTCTACATTCCGGAGCTAAGTCCCTAAGTCGGCCCTGTCGCCTCAATAAGCATGGTAGTGCTTACTCAGGGCGACAAACGAAACTTGCCGGTTGCCTCAACCGGAAGCGAAGGATGGGATTGGAACTGCGCGCGCTGAGCCTGGTATAATATTGCAAGTGTGCAACGTATCCACTGCTACTCCGGTAGGTAGATACATGTCAAGCCACCGAGTGTACCGTGCGGGCCACCACGACCAACTAGGACCGAACGTAACCTACATGCAAGTGCCTGGACACCAGGAGACCGACGCTCATTCGTGTGAAGAAACCAGGGGGGCACCTGTCACAATTTCCGACCCCAACTCCGGCTGAACGGGGCCCTTTGCAACCAACACAGACCCCAATGTGTAGGTTATCTCCATGTGAAATAATCCTTCCGGCCACAGCCTCACCGGAAGTGTCGACAGGTAAGCCGATGCATCCACTTTACGCACGGAGTACCAGGTTCTTGAAGTCCGAGTATACGCGGAGCAAACCACGTGGGGGGAACCAATACTTCAGCCATCACTTGCCTAGCCCTACGGGGGGCCCTTGCCTATATCCGACCAAGCTGGGTTTGCAACGCCGGCTTCGCAAGTACCCCTCGTATCTAGTTGAGCGACGCAGCCCTCTCCAGGACTCCAGAAATATACTCCGAGCCCGTTTAAAATTCCTTTTCAGGAAACTCCTCCCATCCTGCAAGGCGACCTCATAAGAAGGGAAACCTTCATAGCCGAAATTTGACACAAACAAAACCATGGGTCAGGGTGAGGCTCTGGGTGATAGGTTATCAGCTCACCGGATCCGCAGGTGGTACCTTATTCCAAGGCATGGGCTGGCTCTTTGAAACGCCTCCTGTACCTCTGACAGGGCTCTGGCCCAATCAGCTGGTCGGGCGCCCTGGCAACCCATCTTTCGGTTTCAGCGCTCGATGCACAGCATTCAGGGTACGTCTTAAATTTGGGGCACATTATCCTAAAACGAAGTCTTGACGAGATCAATTCAGATCATCTGGGAGATCAGACTATGGCAGTCTCCGAGTGGTTACTTTTCCCAACATCCGCATCAATCATCTCAATAATCCGTCACGCAACAAGAAAAAAGCAATTCCATTCCTCTCCCCAGCAAACTATAACCAAGAGTCTAGAATTGGTATCAGCCTGCTTAGGAATCAAAGTTCAAATAGCCCAGTCACCGCCGTCCAATCATAACGCGACGGACCGTTCGACAGATCATTGCGGACATTTTCCGCAGTCGACGTCGAGCATAGTCAGCATAACTTCGCATACACCAGTACAGAGCAAATAAAGAGTAAGATAACAAAGTTATTACAGGGTCTGAGACCCTTGTCATAACTATCGACATATAGGAAGTGACAGTCTAGATTCTTACGCAGTGAAAGAAAACATCAATAGAGTGCTCCTAGCCTAAAATATATTTTGAATTATATAGTACTACTAGTACTACTACTGTATAATTCTAATTGTTGGCTCATCAACCAGATCAACTACCATTCAATACTAAATAATATCCTCCTCTTAAGAAAGAACTCAACAAATGAAACTAGTACTACTGTATACGATAATTCAACTATCATAGTATAAGCTCTGGTGTTTGACACCACACTAAACAACGACCTACCCACGTAGATAGTATCCACTACTTCATCAATCCCCTGTCAATGCAATCAACAGACAGCCACACCACATTAGTAGTCTACTTCTACTTACATACATAGTACATACAGAAGCATAGTACATACAAAAGTACTTACCCCCCACCGCTGAAGTAAACAAATAAAAATATCATCCCACTAGCAACCAACCCCCAAGCAAGCAACTACCAAATCAAGTAACCAACTTCAGATTCCCCATTCATTCATTCATTCATCCCTCCATCAATTGCCCCCCCCCAAAATAATCCCTTTAGGTATATCCCTAGGTACATAAGGACCAATTTTTTTTTTCTTTAAAGAAATCCCCATACGGTAGGGTACCTACCTACCTACCTACCTACCTACCTACCTACCTACCTAAGTAGATACACCATATCCGCCATCCCCTGCATCAATCACAAAGTAATCCATCTAGTACCTACCCCACCCCAGACCAAATCACATATGACAGGTCCACAAATAGTAAGTAAGTACCTAGATATATCCTAACCTATGGTATTTAGGGTGTATCATGTATCGTATATCGCGCCCTATTAGGCCGAGAAAATCTTTTTTTGGAGGAGGGGGGCGCGAAGTGGGGTGTGGGTTGTTACTTGTGTGTGTCTTGCTTCGAAGGATCAATCAATTGCTGGAGTTCGGGGTGGCTGTGCTAGGGGATGGGATGGGCTGGGATCCTGCGGGTGTGGACCGGGGCATACCGTACCTACTTACCTACTGGATTTGGGTTTGGATTTGGAAAAGGGGACTGGATGAAAGGAAGTGAAATGAGATAATTGAATGAATGAATAATTGGGGGGTTGAGATCTAAGCCACGGGGAGGACTAGTTACGTTGGGAGGCATTTAGGTTTGGGGATAATACTTAGGGACAGAGTAGAGGAGTATCTATCTAGGTAGTGTGTTGTGGTGGAAGTGGTGAAGTGAAGGTGGCTTGAAAGGCAAGAAATAGCTGAATCTATTTTTGGATTGTGGGTTGGTTGGGTTCATCACGTAGCGTAGTTTATGTACAGGGAGGGAAACGTCACTTTTTTTACTCTTCATCTTCGTCTTCATCCTCATCCCCATCCTCGAAGTCGTCCTCGTCGAGTTCGACATCCTCATCGTCTTCATCATCGTCATCCCCAAACTCCACTCCCAGGTCACCGGTGATATCCCAACGGTCTCCCTTGGCGGCCTCGCTAACGTACTTGACGAACTTGAGCGTGCCGCTGTCCCGCAGCACAATGCTGAGCCGGTTCCATCCGGCGGCGGTGCTGAAGAGAATGCCGTCATCGTCCTCGGCCCCTGCGGACCGGTAGATCGCTGCATCGTCATCTTCCTCGTCGTCCCCGGCCATGTAGATCTCGTATCCACCCACCGAGGGCTCCTCGGCGTCGCCGTTGGCGGCTTCCTTCGCCTTCTTAGGCTGGGGCTTAGCTGCGGATTCCTCGTTCATTTCCTCATCCTCGTCTTCCGCCTCGTCCTCCTTCTCCCAGCCGGGAGTCGGCGTCAGGCAGAGTGACAGCTCCAGACGGGGCTGCTCGCCGTCGTAGCCGCTGGCCAAGGTGTAATCCTGACCTCGGCGGAAGCGGCGCGCCAGGAAGTCGTAGCTCGTGATGCGCTCCGACCCCGTAATAAGCGCCAGCCACTTCCGGAAGGCCCGGGAAGGAAAGAGGTCGTCCAAGATTTCTTGGATCGGAGATTTCTGGTCTTGGGCGGCCGTTCCATGCTGCTGGAACATGTAGCGCTGCTTGTGGGGTGGGCGGGCGACCGTCCAGCCAGTCTGAGCAAGGATCTCGTCGGAGGACTTGGGCAGCTCCGCCTTCTCCTGCTCCTCAATGTAGGTCCGAACACGAGCCGCGAATTTCTCGGACAGGAATCGTTCCAAACTGAGACACGACTCGTTGGAGAAGGTCTCTGACATTTCCTCGGCGATATCGGGGGTGAGGTACGACGGGGCAATGTATTGGATGAGGAAGGCGAGGTCGGATTCCGTAAATTCAGCCGTGGGCTGCTCCTCCACCTTGGCTTTACCCTTGCCCTTTGCATCTTCTTGCTCGTTCTCGTTCTCGCAGTCGACCGTCTTGGGCTGGGGGAGGTCGTAGATGTCGCCGCGGCCCTGGAGCTGGGCCAGACTGCTCCGCTCCGCAAGCTTCTCCTCCAGGCCGGCCTCGTAGCCGTCTTCACCCTCCTGCGGGATGTGGAACCAACCGCTAATGGCCATGCGCACCCGCTTTTGGGACTTGTCCTCGTTCTCTCTCGGGTGGTATACTTCTTCGACGTCGTGGAAACTCTCTCCGGGCTGAACGGTGAAGAAGCTCAGCTGGTTGAAGGCGGGCGGAATGCTGAGGGTGAAGTCTGGGCTGGGGATCAGGACGTCATCGCCGTTCGCATCCTTCTTGGTCGTGGTGGGATACAGGCGTAAAGCGCCACCCCATTCGGCCTGCCAGGGGGTGTCGGGATCGGTCAGGTAGAGGATGTAGGATAGACGTCTACTGCCGATGACATCGTCGTGGCAAAGCAAGTGGCAGCCCTCGTTGTAGACGTTGATGGCCATGTCCGTTTTGCGTCCGCTCAGCTTTCCGGAGCCGGTGACCGACGACAGATACTCACGGAACCGGGCTGAGTACAGGGCGTCGCGCAGCTTGAGGATCGACGGCAGTCGCGAGAGGGAGGCATCGTCGAGACCGTCCAGGTTCGCCAGGTCTCCGGACTGGAAGATCTTGTAGATATCGGTCTCCTTCTCGGTGAAATCGACCTGGGCCTGGATTTCGTCGCGGACAGCGCGCAAGAGGGAGGGCTCGATCAGGGGGTGAATGACACCATGCTTGTACCTTGAACGACGGTCAGCTTCGTCCACGTATTCATCGGCCAAAGTCTAGGAGTCGACGTACGGAGCAGACTGGGCGTATTGCTCGGTGTATTTCTGCAGCTCCGACGGCTGGAACAGGCCGTCGCGGAAGCGCGCAGCGACTTCCTCGCTCGACAGGGCACGCTTTTTGGTCTCGGGCTGGTCTTTGCCGCCAAGGGATTCTCTCCCATCTGTCTTGCGCTTCATTTTGTAAAGATGAAAGGTAATTCGAAATGAATGGGGGGAAACCGGGGGGGGGGGCTTGCAATGCTCAACGGAGCCTTTTTTTCATTTTTCGAATAAATTGGGCGGTGAAAAATCTGCAGGCATCAATCAGGCCACCACATCAGGCCATACGGTTTCCGAAAATAGGTCCCGTCCCGACATCGTAGTCATACCTTCTGTGTAGTAGATGGCGATCCATGGAGCACAAGACCATGACCATCGATGGGATGAAGTCTTGCCCGGGGTCTCGATGGCCCATTCGCAGCCACGGCGTGAGAGCGCCCAGCAACAAGGTATGTATGTAACAAGGTTACTCCGCACGGCCTTCCGATAATCGCCTTCGATAAGCGCATCCAGCACCTTCCATCCCCCCTTCGACCCCAGTCACATCTCCCCAACATGAACGGTCCCCCGATTTCCCATCCCTAGCCATATCACTGCACGATATTCCCATAGGGTCATCGCGAGTGACCGTCACCCTCGTTACCATCCGTGAATCCCTCAGTTACACGCATAGACGTCATTGCCGGCGATCGGCGCATCTATCCAACCAGCCGTCCTTTGGATCAATTATTACCACATATCTTTGCCGGACAACTATTTCATTCCTGTCTTCATCTTCGTACAATGCAGCCCTCAGAGGAAACCTCAGAAACCCAGCCCGGTCGGCCAGGCACTCCGCCGCGCCCGCCGTACTCTCCAGTGACGCCCGTCTTTGCGCACCTTGCACCCGTCACCGTTCCAGGCAACGGAGCACCTCACCCCATTGTTCCCCCAGCGGCGTCGCCTTCGCCAACCACAAACGTGCCACCTTATGGCTCTGACTTTCCTCCGCCTGCGACAGAGCCCGTCTTTGTGCCGGAGCCAGCCCCAGTGCCGATCTCAGAAAGCGAGAATCCGGATGCCATTGCTCTACGATCCGCGCTCTCCATCCTGCAGCTGCAGAAGCAACAAAGCGTGCGAGATATCCAGACTTTGGAGAAGTTTAAACGGGCGGCAGCGGAGGATCCAGAGGGATTTGCCGATGAACTGGTGGCGGGGAATATGTCGGCCAAAGATCCGGGGGGCTTTATCAATTTCACCCAAAATGATAAGGATTCGGACGACGGTGATGCAGAAATTCCTAGGAAGAGGGTTTTATCGGGCTTGGGACCGATGCCCACGCCGCAGAACGTGGTGCGCATGCCGCCCGTTAACTGGGCCAAATACCAGATCGTGGGCGATCCGTTGGATAAAATGCATGAGGAGCAGCGGGTGCGACCATTCCCCGGTGAACCGAGACTTAGCTCTCAGAAGGCACCGGAATATCTTATCGCATCGCCGTTGCGGCCCCTGATTGACCCTCTGGAGAGCCCGAGCAAGCTCAGAAAAGCCCACAAAAACAGAAAGACTTGATGATTAGAAGATTACCTAAAAAGCTAGTTACAGGCGCTGTCCGTATGAAGCCCCGTCGATTCATAGCACATTAGCGTCATTATCATACTACATGAACGTGAAAAGAAGAAACCAATCCGGCACGTCAGCCGGTTCTTGACATCCTGCGACGGAGGAAAGACGGGAGGAACGGCTATTCCGACTGATGCTGGCGTTTCATCTGCTCAAACTCGACGAGAGCCTTGCGGAGTCTATCATGAGCGTCCAAGACCCTCTGGAACTGAGCTTCCGCGCCGCTTTCCACGACGTCTTCTGTGTCGTCGACCTTTTCAGCAGGTGGAAACTTTGACAAGATCTCACGCACCTCCTCCTTGGATGCGTTGGCCGCCTTCAAGGCGACGAGAGTCCTATGACGCAAGTTCTCAACAACCTGCTTTCTGAGACTATCGCGTTCATCGACCCCAAGGATCATTTTGTCTTTGACAAGCTTGGTCATCTCGTGGGCTTTCAACCATGCCTGCGCCTTGGGACAATGGCCCTTGGCTTCTCGGAGGATGTTTCCGATGGCGCTGTGTGAGAGAGGACTCTTTTCAACACTCTCGACCTGGGGGACTTTCAAGGCTGCAACTGGTTTAATTGTCTAATACCTAGTTAGCATAGTACCACAGTGAGGACTGAGAACCTTACCGCACCGCGCTCCAACTTGGCCTCGATAGCCGCTGGATTGTCCGGCAGCGGGCCAAACGGAGCGGCAAGGTTCTCTGCTTTCTCAGCCCAGTATTTAGCCCACGCCAACTGAGACTGCTCGACCATGAGTTTTCCCTGCTCCTTGCGTTTGGCTTCGATGTGGGCAGCCGTGGCGGACCCGACCTTGGGAGCGCCAGTGGCAACCGAAGAAGCAGGATGCAGGGCGATGGCTTTGCGCTTTTGCTTGACCATGTTGACAGTGATGTTAGATTGAACAGTGTGCAGAGTGGAAGTGAGATTGATGTAAATGTGAAATAAGTCTTTGTAAAAGTAGACGGGTGGTGCGGGAGTGCAGGGGGGGGTGAAGACGTAATTGGGGATTGCAGATGAAGAAGTGCTTTTTGTGCAAGTTTTCTAAGCTCCTGTATTCAATAGGAAAATTCCTATATTGAAATTCACTGCGAGACATGCCATGAGCTAACTAAGCCAGAGTGCTGCTGGCAACTGTGTGAAGACTGGCAAGTAAAAGAATTCATGAGACGGAGGATGTTAAGAGTGAGTGATGATTGGAAGATATGCTCGGGTGCGGAGCCAAGGAGCACCTGTATAGATAGGCTCCTGCATCTACTTGCCCGTGCTAGGCGGCAATCCACCAAACCAGACCAGACCAGACCATAGAACGTCTAACATTGGTTCAACCACCGTTAACATAATATACATATCGTTATCCATATTACCCAGGCATATACCACAGTCTAGCTCCCTTCTACTCTATAAACCCAGCCTTATCATCCAATCCAAACCACCACCCCACCCCATCTCCCAAACACCACCCCTCACCTAGATATCAACCTCACAACTTACTCCCCTCCCACCTCTCGACCTTTTTCCTCCCCTCCTCCTCCAACCTATCCTTCCCCCTCTCCACCCGTTCCCTCCACTCCACATTCCCGGCATGCCCATCCAAAATCCCCAACGAATGCCTATACATCTCCTCCTTCATCATGCCATAAATCCCCGTCTGGGGCATCTTCACCAACTTCCTCTCCTTCACGAATCCCAGTGTCTCCTCCATCCCGCCCAACGCATCCACAATCCCCGCCTTCAAAGCCTCGGGACCAGGAAACCTCCTCGCCTCAAGCACCACACTCCGGAATACCTGGGGTGTGAGCTTTTCCCGAAACACACTCATCATGGGGGATTGTAACGGGACGCCGAATTCGAGTTCGTTGATGCAGAGGAATCCCTTACTCGGGTTTTGAATCCGGTAGTCGTGGTACATGGATAGCATGAGGCCGCCGGCGAAGGCGTGGCCGTTTAGGAGGGAGATGGTCGGCATGGGGTATCTGTTTATATATATTTTGTTGATTTGGTGGTTAGTTTTTGGGGTTTGTTGGGTAGGGAAGAGGTAAGGGGAGGAAGAAGGGGGGGTGAGTACGTCAAGAACCGTCTAAATAACTTCCAGAGCCATTTCTCCACGAATCCCTCTGTGGATTGGGCGAGTTCGAGATCGAGTCCATTGCTGTAGAATTTGGGGATGCCGCTGGTGGTGATTAGGACGCCCTTTGGGTAGCGATGTTCGAGGATGTCGAGGGCTAGGAGGAAGGTATCGATGAAGGTTGGGGTGAGGCGGTTGTCTGGGGGAGAGGTGAAGGTGAAGCAGTAGATGAGTTTGTCGGCGGGGGAGGGGTTGGTGCAGGTGATGGTGCCGTTGGTGGAGGGGATGGGGAGGGTGAACAGGGTGGTCATGATGGGTTTGGTTTCTGTGGTTGGTAGGAAGGTTTTACATAGTTATGGTAGGGGGAGGGGGGAAAGGAAAGGTTTGTATATTCCAGGGATTATTATCTAAACCGAGGAGAGTTAGATGACTGACTGGGTTGTTGTTTGCTATTCGGCTGTCGAGCAATCCCGCGGTATCACATGCCATGGGGATTATGTCAGGGGGGATTCATGTGGCGCTCTGTAGGGGGTAAACAGAGGGGGGAGGTATGCATCTGCTTGTGTTAGACTGATGTCTCTGATGACCTCAATCTATTGTCGAGGTTCTGAAAACGGTGATGAGGGTCCTGGATAGCGTCCCCGCAATCGCATCTATGGAGTATAGAGAGGATCCGCCACTGGCAAGCACTGCATCTGAGTGCTTCGGTTGGGATGTTCCATCAATAGTTTGATCTTAGAACGTCCAACTTGGTTGGTTTGCTTTGCAAGGGCATTACCCTGTCCTTGTCCCCGACTGGCAAATTAGTATATCCTCATCTGGCAAGTGGTAACGCCGTCACGGCATATGTATTGATACGGGAAAACCATTCAGCACCTTAACAGGCCAAACCAGCAAGATGCTCAGTGCTGTCTATATCCTATCGCTAACACTAGAGTAACACTACCTAAACAGGCCGTATGATCCAGTCTACCAGCAACCGATAAGGACATCATCTCCACCAAACCGACATCATCACTGACGTCATCCCATCTCATCATCTTAAACCTCCCTCAACCACCACAAAACCCAACCTATCTACATTCTGCACAATCCATACCACTCAATTTATCTCAATTTTTTTTAAAACGCTACTTCCAAAAAGCCACCACAATGCAAACCCGTCACCAAGCCGCCCAACCCTCCCAGCCCCCCAAACAAGCAGCCTACAACCAATCCTCCAACCCAGTCGACCACAACCCCTACGAGCAACGCACACCCCAGCACCAGACCCGCCAACGCGGGGACCCCATCTCATCCATAACTCGCAGCGCAAACTCCAATCCCTCGAATGATGAAGCTCTCCGTCGACTGAACGCCGAACGCGAACAAGAGCAGCGCGCCATGCAGAACGCCTCGGACGTGGACACGGAGTACGGCGTGGAGCAGCAGCCCGCGGAAGGGGATATCGCGCATGCGGTGCAGAGCAAATCGGCGGATGCTCGGGCAAGAGCGCAGGCCGGGGCGCATGCGGGTCCTGTAGGTAGTGCAATGGGACCAGGGGATCCGGGGTATGAAAAGGGAGAGGCGGCGGATCTGGATCGGAAGAAGGAGGCTCATGATCGGATGCTGGGGGATCGGGTGGGACAGAGCCCGCCGGAGCCGGATGCGGAGACGGTGAGGAGGGAGGCGCTGAGGGAACGGAAGTTGAGGCAAGATCGGGAGTTAGATGTGCAGGGGGCTGTGAGTGAGGGATCGGGGGGTGCTGTTGTTGGATGATTTGAAGTATAAGGTGAGGGAATGTGGAGGAATTGTCTCATATAGTGACCAATTGGATTAATATTGGTGAATATCATATTATCATGAATGAATTTAGGAATGGTGTGACTGGGTATAAGGTATTGACAATGGTAGCAGCAGTGAACAAATAATTTGTTAACCATCGGCATCGTCGCCTTCTCCAATAGACACCTTCTTCAATGACAGATCCTGTTTTAAATCGTGGATTCGCTTGGCCAGCTTGCCCTTCAAAATCGCATTCTGCATCTTCTCCCATTTGGCAGTCTCCGCGCGAATCAGTGCCTCCAGTTCAGCAATTTCCTCCCGTTGCTGCTGCATCTGTCGCTGCTGCTCGAGCTGCTCATCATCCAGCTCATCCTCTGGCTCATCGCCATCGTCAGACCCATCACTCTCATCACCGGATGAATCCGGCGCCGGCGTGGATGGCTTCGTTGCCATGGGAGTACCTGCTTGGTAGACTCCAGTATCCGATGCTGGCTCACCTCCGGACGCAGCCGTGGCTCTAGGCTCGCCCTCATCTCCAGCAGCCAAAGCAGCCTCCATTTCGGCGGCAAGGGCATCCTCAAAGTCATCAAAGAGACCAGCGTCTTCCATGCCTTCATCCATCTCACCCTCGGCGTCCTGCTCATCATCATATTCTTCATCATAGTCGTATTCTCCGCTCTGGACCAGTCCCTCCGCCCGATTCAGCGAAGCACTATCGACAAGTTCATAGCGAGCAGGTGCCAGGGAGGCCTCATCCTGTGCGATCAAATCCTCAACGGCTTTCTCGACTTGTTCAATGGACCGCGTACTGATCCGTTCCCGAAATCGCCGCTTCCGCACCCATCGCAGTGGTGGCGTGAGACCGTGTGGATATTGCAGTGTCTTGTCATCCGGGTGTAAGATGTCGGCAGGAAGCGGGTAGTCCATCGCTTCTTGTTCGTTGGCGACTGGTCCGAGAATCAGAAGCATCTGGCAGATGTCCGCTGATTTGTACCACCCACGCCGGTCCCAACTCTTCATGCCTTCGACGATGCAAGGCAGATCCACCAGGGCTGCGGCGTATTGGCGGTCACGGATTCTGAAGATGGCGCGTCGTCCCTCGCGGGTGAGCGGTTTGAAAGAGAACTCTGACCGATCGAATCGACGTTCGGCAATTGCACGCCGTAGAAGCTCGCAATCCTCCCCGGGCGGCATGCGCAGAATGAACTGTTCTTCGATGGCGGGGTCAATTTCCGTGTCGGAGGCCTCCGAGTCATAGCCTACGCCCACCGGTCGGTTGGGGACCAGCCCCTTGTTCTTGATGCGGAGAGACTGAACACCAGGCTTCTTCGATGGGTTTAATTTGAGTCGTTTGGGCCCAGCTTGTTGGCTTGCCAGGGAGGGGACCGAGGGTTCCGGCACCACGGGCCCCTCGGCCGGGCGCTTCTTCGACGTCTTTTTCTTCTTTGGCCTGTCATCCTCCGGAGGCGCGTCTGGAGCTGGTCTGCGGGCGATTTTGAGGGTGAGTTTGCGTTGAGGCTCGGTTGGCGGAGGAGGCGCGGCAGGCCTGCTCTGAGACGACTCATCGGACGCCTTCTTTTTGCCGAAAGTGAGCTTGAGGGATGGACGAGGGGTGTCCGACATGGCGACAAAGGAGCCACCGGCTGGGTGGTGATATAAAGGGGAAAGTCGAGAGAAGCGTAGAGTGAGGTGTGGGTGGCTGGAGTGATGCAAGTGTTGCTTTGCACGCCGGCGAAAAGAAGGCGGAACACCCGCCGCATCCATTCAGCGATTGCATCCCTCTTCGCTTTCTATTCATCCACCAACACTCAACCACAACAATAGCGACGGGTTTAGTCGTCCGTATTATTATCTATATAAGCCCTTCTTTGGAGCTGAAAGGCTCGATTTCGTCCACTTTACCTGTGTTCACATCTGCCATTCACATTCCAACATGTCCGGTTCGAATCTCCATAACGCTCTTCTCCGCCCGCCAATCATCCAGATCCTGCGCGCAGCAGGCTTCCATGCAACGCGGCCCTCTGTTCTCGACACTCTCGCTGACCTCACGGCTCGCTACATTATGATTCTCGCTTCATCTACTACCGCTCACGCTGCAAACGCTCATCCTCACGACCCTGTACCAGTCCTTGAAGACATCTACCAAGCCTTGCAAGATGCAGGCGCGCTGCGACCCCAGCTACGAGAATGGGAGGAGGAATGGCAAGCGGAAGAAGACATGCGTGGATTGGAAGGGTTTCTGTCGTGGTTCACGGGCCCAGCGAATCGGGAGATTCGACGAATCGCCGGGTTTGTGCCCAGTGAAGGCGATATGGTCGACGCAGACGCTCTCGAAAAAGAGGACTTCCTTACAGCTCTAAAAAAGAAACACAGCAAAACCGGCGAGGAGTCGAGATATGCGGGAACGGTGCTAGGAAAGAGCGCCGACGAGCATCCAATTGTCATCGAGGGCGGCGCTCCCAGTCTGCAGGATTGGGGCTCTCAAATGCGATCGCGGGCGCCATACATGGGAGACAGCGACTCCTCCGGTGTTAGTAGTGCGCCGAGTAACTTGTCCGATGGCGAAGGCATGGATGTGTGATAGCTCGACGACAACAGAGGCCTTAAACGAGATCACTGCAGCAAACGATTGCGACATTGGCTGCGTCAAGTCTACGGCACAGCGAGCCAGACTTATATATGAACAACTCATCATCATCAACGCCACGCCCTGTCTGGCACCTGGATAGCTGGCGGGCCCAGCTTGATGGCAATGCTGAACCACACCACCACCCCAACACCCAACTAATCACATGCCACAGAATTGGACGGCACAATTTAGGGACAGGACGGATTCACGGGGATTACGGTCAGAACACGGTATACGACGCTTGGACGTGTCCGAAAGGAAAGGCTGGACGAGACTGGGATTGAAAAACATCTTGCAGGGGTAATCCATGTATCCACAGCAGGCAGTAGGGCAGCATTAAATCAGTATGAATTAATCTGAAGGCCAGTAGGCACTACCATATCCGACGTGCTCGTCGTACATAGTAGTATGTGAATCCAGGCCTGATTCTCTTGGCTGCCGCGGAGATCATCCTCCACCTTCATCTGTCTAGCTCGAGCTCTCCTCCACTTCTCCCTTCTTCAACCTCCCACTTCCATCACCATCACCATGGTCTACAACTTTACTCTCCCGTCGACCTCCCATCTATCCTTTCAAACCTTCTTCACCTCCAGCACTCATCCCTCCCTCCCTCAGGCCGCCACCACTGCCCGCCATGCCCTCCGACAAGCTCTCAAAACACATAAGCGTCTACCCCGCGGTCCGCAACAAGACGCCCACTTGCAGATCCTCCTGACCACCATCACCAGCTACCTCCCCTACCTCCTCGCTCTCTCCGACGGTCTCAGCGGCAAACCTACCGACCTATCTGCATTTACATCCACTACCGAAGAAATCGAAATTACCCTCCGCACCGAGATTACATCCTCATGGCGCCCAACCCTCACCAACCCCACTCTCTCCCTGAAACAGCGTCCCTCCGCCACCCGCGTTCACGGCCAAGGTCTTGACTTTGAGATCGCCTTTGTCCTCTCCACCCTCAGCTACGTGCTCAACACTCTTGCCCGTATTGGCGTCACCCGCACCCTCTATGCATCCACAACCCCGACCCCGGAGCAGCGCACTGCCGCCATCCAAACCGCCACTAAGAACCTCCTTCAAGCTAGTGCCGTACACTCGCTGCTCGCCTCTTCGCCCTCGTTCACAACCGTATCTCGCTCCATTGCAAATGGAAATGGAGCCTATTCCCTTCCGGACCTCGACCCTGCCACGCAGGCGGCCCTCTCCTGTCTCGCGCTCGCGGAAGCAACACTCCTTGCCGTCTTGAAAGATGATTCTTATGTGGCGGCCTGTATTCAAGCGCGCAACCCTAACGACAAGGACTGGATGGTCCGGGCGCCGGAGATACCTAAGGTGCGAGCGCACCTGTTCGCTAGATTGTGTATCCGGGCCGCAGAGTATGCGGAGCAGGCTGCCGCGGGGCTGGGGTCTGTCCGGTCGGAGGGAAGGATGGGGATTGATGAGGACTTGTTGGGATATGCGCGGGTGCTGGGACGAGTTGCGCGGGCGCGTGCTTGTCGGTTCTTCGGCGTGGATGCGGAGCTGTCCGGGAAGATTGGTGAGGGGATTGCGTGGTTGCGCGCAGCAAAGGGGGCGTTGGGGGTGAGGGGAGCTGGATCAGGGGGTGAAGCGAAGGAGATGAGTACGAAGAGTCGGGGGCTGTCGAGGTTGAAGCAGGGGTGGATGGAGCGACGAGAGGAGAGACGGATGGAGAAGGATGCAGGGAGTCGGGATCGGACGGAGAAAGGGGAACTAGGGCCGGGCGACAATGCCGGCCGGGAAGAGGAGAGTCGAGTGATTGAGATGTTGGAGACGAAGTGGGTGCGAATGAATGACACAGTAGGTGATTTGCCCGATGTCTCTGAGTGCGAATGCTGACAAGGACAGATCAATACCCAGTTGATTCCGTCGTCGACGGAGCTGCTTGCGAACTTGCCTTCGGGACGAGATATCCATGCGCCGCCGGCGCCGTACAAGATACCGTGTCTGGACGAGGAGCAGCTGGTGCGCATGCGTGCACCGCCGGCAGAGGATGAGTCTGGGCCGGGCAGTGATGACGACAGTGACGAGGAGCCAGGCAGTGTGGCGCGTGTTTTTACACCTGGGACGGTACCTGAGCGGAGTGAGAGTGCATATTATTGATACCCTGCTATATTCAGATTTGGACAGCTAGAATTGAGCCATTGTGATTTAGAGTTCACATACACAGTAAAGCTCGAATACTATTATTCCCTCAATCTCACAATCCCAATCCTCCCCTCTCCTCCTCAATATCCCCTCCCTCCCTCCCAATCCCATCCCATCCCACCCCAACCCCAAGCGACTCAAAAAAGAGCAAAAGATAGAGAGAATAATTCAATACCAGCTGAATAAAAAACCCACTATCCGGGCATACATAGGTCAACCAAACCAAGAGCCATCGCATACCCTCTAAAGTAACAAAGTAAGAAAAAAAAAAGAAACCACAATGCATATATTGTATATCACATAACATCCATCCCTTCACCTCACCACCCATCAATCCATCCAGCTAATCTCCACCACCTCAACCCCAATCGAAATAGATGAAATGACTTATTCCTTCTTCTCAAAAGAATTCTTCTCCTGGAACAAATAACCCTTAATCTTGCGCTCCGACAACAACTCGAAATATTTTTCTATAATCCCCATCACCATCCAATCATTAGCAAACCTTCATTCATCTCAATCCCTCCCCCATTCCATCCCATCCCATCCCATCCCAGAATAAAAAGAGAATGATAGAACTCACCCCTCAAAACCCCACACTTCTCCAAATGATTCACGCCCTCACGAGCATAACACTTTCCCAATTCCTCGCCGACCAGACGAGACATCATGCTTCGGACCCATTGTTCGCGAATGATGGCGTCGCGGGCGTTATGGACGGCAACGTTGTCTTCGAAGTCGACGCCGTCGTAGGTTGGCGGCACGGTGGGCTTTTTGGCCAGGAAGGAGGCGGATTCGGGGGTTGGCATCTTGCGTTGTACCAGGGGGGTTCGGTTGGGAGGGGATTGGTGAGGAGGAGGAGGAGGAGGAGGAGGAGTAGAAGGAGAAGGAGATGTCCGTAGTGTATGTAGGTGGAGGTGATGATGATCAAGTTCGATTCCGGAGGTCGGGATTAGAGGGATGCAATTGGGGGGGTGTGATTGGTGGGTTGGGTGGGCGGTCGGTGGGCGGGAGTTAGGGTCACGTGATGGATGGTGGTATTGGTCTGTTTACGGAGTATAGCTAGAGGTGGATTATAGAGGTAGAAGGATTTGACGATACTGTAATCTGAATCAAGTGGCATCAAGCTAATCATATTACACCAAACGCCTTGCCAAAGACACCAACCAATGCACCATCCGGATACGCCTGCCAGTCGTTAGATATCCGCATCTTACATGGTCTTCAGACCAATCATAGTCTGCGCGCTTGCAGACAGTACGCAAAACATAAGAAAACATCGCATCACAGCTATCATCGCATCACAGCCTATTGGACTTGCTGCTCCTCTCCAGGTAAAACCCTTTCATACACCCCGTTCAGCTTCTCCTTCAGCCGCTCCCACCAGCTCCGGTTCAGCTGATTGCTGTACTCGCGATACTGGTACATCTCGCCCCAGCAGTCGCGCCCATACTGACACCCAGCCATATTGACCAGGAAGTCCCGTTCGTCCTCCTGGTAGTGCACGTTCGGATCATTCTCGTCTCCACATGCGCCCTGAGGAAACGAGTTGATGTACCGCTGAGGGAGGAAGCCCACTTGGTTGCGGACCCACGGCTGTGTCGCGTACAAGTACTCCAACGCATCCTGTTCTTTGTGCTCCCACTCCATATGCTTCTGCTCGTACATGACAGGGTCCCACCACGAATCCAGCAGACGATCAGACCAGAGGGAGCGTTTGATGAAGAATGAGCCGAGGTTGAATCCACCGCAGTCCTGCGACAAGAGTAGGTGTACAGAAGACGCATCGCCATCCCCATTCGGTGAGCGAGACACCTCATCCAGATAGGCGTCTGTCGGGGGATGGCTGATGTTCAACGGATTGTAGACATTGATGTCGCGGTAGATGATCTCGTCCAGGCGATTGAACAGATGTTCTTGCAGGGAGTAGGAGTACTCCATGATCCAGGTATTGAGGTCCAGCCACCAAAACCTACAACTGTCAGCAGTACTCAAGAATCTGTATCCCAGCTAGCATACCATTCAGCTTCAGGATGCTTCCGCATCGTCTCCCGGATAAGGTCCACTTTCTCCCAGCTTTCGCGCCATTCGTGCGAATACCGCTTCTTGGCCAACATGTTGACGACCTCCACCTCGTAGCCCCATTGCTCAGCATAATGGTTCTTGTTCCAAACACTATTGCGCTCGATCGCCCACTCGCGCGCTCCCTTCCACTCCATAACCCCGCCTTCGATATTGGACTCCAGTATAATAACGAACTTGCGCCCGCCGCCGAGCGGGGAGCGCCTGTACTTCTGAACGATCGCTGCAACAAGGATCAGCCATGTGAAACGTCGTCTCATATGCAGGGGCTCACATACATGCCCCAAAAAACAGATACCCAAGCAAGCAAAAGATCAGCACCAGCAGTAGGCGCGATCTTCTCCGCCGCGGCAACGTCCTGCCAAACCCCAAGCGCCAGCCGCCAGCCGGAGAGACTTGTGGCCCCCGGCCAAACTCATCCTTGTCGACATAACCATTCGGCGACCCCGAGCCAAGACGAAACCGCGGAAGAGTGGCGGAGAGCTGGCGCCTTGATCGTGAGAAGAACCCGCTGTTCCTCGTCGAGAAGGACGGGTAGCCTCGCACCTCATCGCTCTTGGCTTTGGCGGCCGCCCATGAGATGCCGCTTGCGCCGATAGGATTGGGGGTCAAGAAGCCGCTGTGAGGCGTGGAGGTGCCGCTGCCGGGAGTGAGGCCCGGACTGGACCATCCAGCTCCCGCGGGGTGGGGAGACGGTGATCGCGACAAGGACATGGGCGGGGAGTCGGGACAGGGATGTCGGCAGGAAGGCGAGCACGACGGCCCGCAGAGAAGCCACAGACGGGCGCGATTGGGGGAGTTGGTGCGCGGCAGAGGGTCGGAGTGGAGGACGTCAAGGCAACGTCGCCGATGATGTCTTTCTTTGAAACGGCACCCGGAAACCTAGGAACAAAAAGGCAGAGAAGAGAAGGAAAAGGCCGGGGCGGAAGTGTAGGAGATATGTTAGTGAAGTAACAGATCACACTCATGAACCAGAAAATTAAGAGCACTAGAAATTAAAGTAAAATTACTCGGTTCAGGAGGCACCAGCTCGAAACGACGGAAGAGGAATAGCAGCGCATCCATCCAATTGATGAGATAAAAACTGGATCGATCCAGGAACAGCTCCTCCGCGAACGGGTCTGCCCGTTTTCGTTGACTGCTCTTAACTCTTTGTTAAGGGCGCGCTAGGGGTCTTGGACGCCCTCGCAGAAGAATGGAAGGATCCAAGGGTCGTTCATGAGGGCGCAATGAGGATGCAACGCTGCTCCCCTTCGGCCCCCCCGACTCTCATCATCATCCATGGACGGACTGTCATGGTTATCAGGATGACATTCCTGGCCCTGGGTGTGAAAAGGGCGCAAAACGTCAGGCTCCGAAGGGCATCATTCGTTGATGGTGGGGAGGAAGGAGATTAGTCTGCAAAACAGCAGATTAATTTAATTAAATCCACGGAGCAGCCCCGCCCCCTCGCTTGACGTTTTCTCCTTTGCCGCCGAAACGAACGGTTGGAGGCCTGCTCGTCGCCTTGTCCGACGTTACACCCGCCACCACGCTGGCTCGACTCGATTGTCTCACCTCAGCCATGCGCCTGATGCGACAAAGAAAGCCCATGGTGAGATGCGTTCATCACTCCATTCATTGTTCTGGCTCGGAGACCGGAGCAGATGGAGTGGTTGCTGGTTAGTTGGTGGTTAGTGCGACCTGCAGTCTCACTCGCGATCCACCGCCAGACCCACGCTGCTGCTTAGCGCCAGGGTCACATGTTGGGCTTATCGGCGCTCTCGTTCACTCTACCTACGCTCTACACTCTACACATTGGGAATGGCGGCTACTATGGACTGGAGAAACTTGATTGATTGAGGGCGACATCGTGCCCCTGACTAGCCAGCCCGCTTTCAGCAGCATGGATCTAACTGTGGGTTCAACTGGGCTACTACACTGTACATCACGCAAGCCGGATAGTGGCATCTATGAATCCCACTTGATACCGTCTACCTCAACCCAGACCTTTGCTCAAGCATCTGCTTGAAAAGCGATCCAGATTGTCCTAGAAGCGCCCCGGGCGTGTCATACTCAACGACCCTACCTTGATCAATGACAGCAACCTGGTCGTAATCCACCAAGGTATGAACTCGGTGTGCAATCGCAATGACAGTACAGTTAGCAAACTCGGTGCGGATCACTTCCTGCATCAGGGTGTCCGTCACATCATCCACCCGGCTGGTGACCTCATCCAGAAGCAGGATCTTTCGTTTCATCACAATAGCCCGCGCCAGGCAAATGAGCTGTCGCTGGCCGGCGGACAGGGGGAGGTCATCGATCTTGACATCCAGACCCCCGCTGCTCATGACATGCTCATGTAGCTGCACCTTTCCAAGAGCATACAGAACTCGGTCATCATCAACAGGGGTGAACCCGGTAATGTTATCGCGGACAGTACCTCGAAACAAAACCGGTTCCTGCGGAATCACAGTAACCCGATCGCGGATAACGTCTCGGGGGCATGATTGTAGACTCACGGCATCAATGGTAATATCACCACTTTGAACTTCAACCAGACGGAGGAGGGCAAGGAGAAGCGAGCTCTTGCCACTTCCAGTGCGCCCACACACCCCCAGCTTGGTTCCAGCGGAGATGGTCAAGGATATCTGACGGAGGACGGGCGGGGAAGCCAGGTCATAGCCTATACAGGCGTTCTTGAAGACGATACGTCCCTCTAATGGCCAGTCAGCACAAGGAACTAGGTTTTCTCCAGGAAGATCCTCCGAGGGGACCTTCTGGAAACTTCGGATGCGGGTCACCGCGCCAATACTGGTCTCCATCGAAGTCCAGAAATTGATCAGCTCTGACAGCTGCTGATTGAATGTGATCAATGAGATAAGCGAGACACCGATGGGACCAATCCCGGGAATAATCACGGCAAATATGACTAGCAAAACTGCAACCCCAGCAACAAACAGGTCCAGAACAAGAAGCAGCCACCGTTGAATGACAAAGAGTGCATAGTAGGGCCGTTGGGATCTTTGAAGCAGCTCGAGGTGTTCTCGTTGGAAGCTGTCTTGCCAACCAAATGCGCGAATAGTGACAAGACCATTGAGTGTCTCCGTGAATTGGGTGTACAGGGGGGATTTGCTTTCAAGGTCCAAATAGCGGAGTTGTCGTGATGTTCGGAGATAGAATCTTTGAATCCAATAAATAACGAAGACCGCAAAGGGAATAAACGCGGCCATGTATTTGGCTCCCACGGAGATGAACACTGCACTCATCACGCATTGGGCGAAGTTGTTGGATGTCTTGAGAAAGTCAGCTGGGAGTGATCGGTCAATCAAGGTCATGTCTTGACTAAATCGATTGAGGGTGACGCCGCTGTCGGTGGATGTGAGCCAGTGCAAGGGCGCTTTTTTCACCTTTTCCACCAGGTAATCGTGGAGCCGGTTTGAGGATGTGGGAACAATCCGACAGAAGACGAGCCACATGCATGAAGCCCACAACGCAGCCCCAAGAGCGGCCATCACTGCATAGATGCCGATGTACAGGCCGAGATGTCCAAATGGGGTTCGTGCATTCTCTTCCGCCCACCATTGAACCCAGAGACCTATGTGTTTTCGTCAGTGAGATTCATCTAATACAAGGGAGATCATACGTACTGGGGAATTGCGAGCAGAACACGCCAATCACTAAGGCGATGAAATAGAGCAACACTTTCCGGGAGCCAGCAGCTCGTAGGTAGTACGCATAGATGCTCAAGTCTCCCAGTTTCCTGTCCATGTCATCACTCTGAGGCGATGTGCCCGAGGCCATCCGATTATTTGGTGCTGTTCCTTGGGGCTCGTCAGTTAAGTGTGGACTGCATGTTGTTTCATTCAGGTGATTCCAAAGTTGAAGCTTGCGGGGAGGTCCTTGCTCTGAGATTTTCCCATCTCGAAGCACAACAACATGATCCGCAAAGGCAAGGAGTTTCTGATCATGTGTTGTCATGATGGTGGTAACCCCCTGCTGATGCAAGATGCCCTGTGCTCCAAATACGCGTGTAAAAACCTGCTCTGATGTCTTAGCATCCAGAGCACTCAAAACATCATCGAAAACAGCTAATCGCTTCCGTGCATAGATCGCACGGGCAAGAGCGATGCGTTGGCGCTGCCCACCACTGGTTGTCATACCATTGCTGCCAATGACTGTATGATCTTTCTGAGAAAGACTTTCAATGTCATGATCAAGAGCAGTCGAGCGAAGCACTGTGCGGTACCATTTTTCATCGTAAGGGAAGGGCTGACAGATGTTATCGCGAATTGATCTGTTTCGAATCCAGGTCTTCGTGTTGCAATAGGCTATGTCACAGACCTTGGTGTGAATGAAGCCCTTCAAGCAGGGGATCTCCCCAAGAATTGCATGTAGAAGTGTGCTCTTTCCTGAACCAATCGGCCCGGTAATCATGATGAGGGGTGAAGGAGGACATCTGAGATCGATGTTCGAAAGCGTAGCTGCCGAATTGCGGTCCCACCCAAAGTCAGCCTGAGAAACATGTACCAGATCTGTTTCGGCGGCGAAAGGGCGATGTGCCGCTCCTCTACTGCCAGTATTCAAGGATTGGAGTTCACTGTCAATGGGCTGCGCCCCGTGTGAAGGGCAATCCCAGTATAGAGGCTGAGAGTGAGGACCGGGCTCAGGCTTGTTGTCGTACCCGCTGTAGCCAGTCAGTTTGTACTCCAGTTTTCATCCATTGGATATTGGCTTACCTAGTAGATTCATCTTCACCATCAGATGTCGGAATTTCGACTGTCGGCTCAACTCGCTGATGCGGAATTGCTGCAGCATGGAAGAAAAACGATTGTGGAGACCAAGCATCTTGATGGTCGTGCTTGCATCGAGGTAACTTGACGCAAATGCCACCCTTTCCCGAACAGCCTGCATCCATATCTTTTGCCTCCCCGGGGCCGACTTTGATATTAGATGTGTCAAGTAGAAGACCGCAAAGGTAAGAACCGCTGGAACTACAGCGGCCCAAGCCACCTCGTGCTGCAGAAGATATAATGCGACAGCCACAGATACTGGACTTGCCCAGACCTCGTGCATATTCTGGACCCCTGATGCAATATTATCGATATCGTTGCTCATCAAAGTCAGGGCAGCCGAGTCACTGTACTCATCAAACTTCAGCTCAAGTGTTTTGTCGTAGATCACGGATACAAGGGAACCTCGTATCTGGGTTATGAGCCGGAATGTATGATGCTCGTAGAGACAGTTGGAGACCTGCGTGGATTGTCAAACTTTATAGAACTGGAAATCGAAGTGCCATTCAAACTCACTGCTTTCAGACCAAAAACAAAAGCAAACGCCCCAATCAGGCCATAACCATCATTCATATCGGGATCATCGCTCCCCACGTAATTGGTTAGGCTTGTTATCAAGAATGGCTGGGCAAAATTCAACCCAATCATTGCCAGTCGCGATAGAAACGAGTAAATGACCGAAGCTTTGAACGTAGATACGGTGCAATATGCCAATGCATTTTGGCCGGATTTTGAAGCTGCTCAAAGGTCAGAAAGATATCGACGTAAAGCCTTAGATCAGCTACTCACTAGATGTCCATTGCGCCGAGAAACTCCGATGGAGTACATTTGCCGACAGAGCTTGGTCCAGATGCGGCAGCTCATCCACCGATAATCTTTCTCTGAACCCGAGGAAAAGAAAAGGGTTAATCCACCAGAAGAAGGCACGGCTATACAAACCACGAACTTCCTCGTCGCCATACCGCGTTCTTTGATCGACGAAGTGTGCTTGCTTCGACCTCGACTCTAAACAAAACCAGACCACTTTAACGGCGATACTGGCCGTGTAGATTGCCGCAAGAACAGTGTAGGAGGCTAGCCATAAGCTCCTTGCACGCACACTATCGAAGACGATTGACAAGGATAAGGAGAGGTTGAGCAGAAAGGACGGCTGAATAGAATATAGGTGTTCCAAGTGCGATAGGAACAAGAGGGCAACGGAGGTGAAGAAGGACAAGGCTGCAGCCGCCAGGGACGTTTGCGTTCGTGGTGCATGAGGGAGGAACCAAATCACCAGCAGAGAGAGCTGGCATGCTCCCAGAACCTGGGCTGCAACCTAGTGAGATGTTAGAATGGGCGATGATCTACCATTATAGCAGTAAAAACGTACCAGCTTGGCCCAGTATAGTGGACTTTGTAAGACCTTGAGATTGCGTTTTCGCCATAGTTGCTTGTAGCGAAAAGGGAGTGCCAGCAGCAGCAGCGCCGATGGGGCAATTGAGAGAAAGCATTCTTCGAATAGTAAAGTAAAATCAAAGCCGCCTCGACAATGGTTCACTTGAGGACCAAAACCATCGTCCCCACAGACGTAAATATTCTCCATTTGGACCCGAAATGAGTTGGATTCACCCAGATGGTTAACGAAAGTCCAAGACGGTTGGAGATTGACTTGAAGTTGTTGGCAGTCGACGAGGGGGTTGCGGTAGTTAAGGTAGCCTGTTGCCTAGCTGGACGTGGTCTGCCCTACCAGGCTTTGGCCTAGTACTCCTCATCTCCCAAGCAATTAGACGGCAGCGATAAGGTGCATGGCGAAGACCCCTGTCACCCAGGCCTAGGTGGGTTAGTAGTAGATTAACTACCTAGCGACGGAGAGTACGGTGCCATTCTTTATTGGTCGCTATTGATTAAGCTGATCCTACACCTAGATAACATGACCGACCTTGGTCTTTTCCTCACCCAGGCCATTATTTATGTACATCAGACGCCAAAATCAAGCCCAAGCCGCCCCACTATTCCCATCCAAAAGGCCTACAGAAGTCCTACCTATGCATTGTCAAACAACTCCAGATCCAAGCCAAGAGACCAATCGTCACTTCAACCCTGCACAGCAACGCCTACCTCTTCCCACCAGTGACTTTCCGTGCAGGCAGTCGGTTCGCGGTCGTCTCTTTAGGCATCAAAACCTTGCGCACAGTGAATCCTTTCTCTTCATCGGGACGCGGGCGCGCACTGTCCCCATGGTAGAACTCGCAGGTGAACTTCAGAAATTTGTGACGATGCTGGTAAACCGTGATCACATCGCCGGAGTACAGCTTCCCAAAATGGAAGCCCTCCCGCCCATTGTCGCCATCTGGCCCTCGTCGCAACTCAGTGCCGTTGACCCAGATACACTTCCGGGTTTTGGTGGAGAGAATCGCCATCACACCAGGGACGGTCATCCACTCCTGTCCAGCAGCAATCTTCGTTTCGATAGCTGGGGCCCAAAAGGTGACTTCCAAGGCATACGCAGGGATTCGCGTGTCCATTGGCTCGGGATAACATATGGTCGCTAGGGGACCGCGGCCCCAGGATGTCATTCGCGTTTCCAGCGGGATGGTGAGCTCAAAGATGGACCCCGGAAGAGTGGTCAACTTGCCCAGGAGGGGATGTGCTTTGCTGGGCGGGGATACTATTTTGATGTTGAGATCTGGACTCTGGTGAGGCAAGGGCTCTGGGGGGGATTGATTATCGTCCCTTTGAGGCAAATCAGGAAGTTGCACTCCGGTTTTGGCATCGATAGTGTTTGACAGTTCAATATCGAAGGTTTCTCCGGGCTCAGCTTCAGACTCAGTCCGGCCGTAGTTGGTCTTTTCCATTGTTTTCTCCGTACTTTTTCCCGTCGTCTCTGGACTCGAACGCTCACTGGCAGTATCGGGTACAGGCAGCTCAATCCGACGGCTAAAAATACAAGGCTTAAGGGTCGTATCATCGGTAGGGGTGTGCTTTGGGGCCTCTGGGGATTGCCTATCTGGAACGTCGGCGGCCACGCTAGTTTGCGGCCCCGGCGCCTCGACGTGGAGAATTTTGCTCGATATTCCAGGGAGCCACGAGTCCATGTTCAGCTGCCCAACAAGTTTCTCAGCTCCCATTAAGCTAGGTGCAGACCCGGCGACGGGGTTTTCCGGAAGGGAGAGGACGGAATTTAGGCTGTTGCCGTCGCTAATGATCGACTCACCAGTGGAAGAAACGAAGTCATGGATGCTAAAGTCGTCACCCTCATATGCATCGACATTTTCGCCCAACGCATGTGAACTTCGAAGAACTGATGGTGTGATCTCACCAAAAAGTCGTTTGGGGCTTGACTGAGAAACTGGCTGAACGATCTGAAAGCTGTCGACACTCGGCAGTGATGGATAATGGATCTCGGCTGGGGGGTAATCAAGCTTAATTTTCTTGGATTGGGCCGCTTCACTGTCCTCCTCAACCGCCATATCTGCTGCCGGTTTATCATTGAGGGAAAGCTGAGAGGCGTCTATCTCGTCCTCTAAATCCTCGCCTATGTCAGAAAGATCATTTGCAAGGTTCAGCGCGAGGTCATCGTCATCGTATTCATCTGTATCCGCAACCCCGGCAATCCAAGGATGTCTCAAGCATTCTCGTTCGTTCGGTCGGGACATGGGGTCGCGATTAAGAAGCCGAGCAACCAAGTCAATTCCATCCTCAGAAACATCTGCCTTGCGGAGTTCACCATAATCGGCATCCTCGGTCATGATTATCCTCAGCATTTGAGCCCCCCTGTCATCTGCTCGTGGAGCAAAAGGAGGGACTCCCGAAAGGAGATGGAACAATACAGCTCCAAGTGACCACATGTCAACGGATTGGTCATATGGGGATGTTTTAGGTGGCCTGATGGTCAGTATACTCTCGGCAGGGATAGGCTACTAGAGAACTTACGGATCACCCAGCCTGCGGCGTTTCCGAACCTCACCGCGCCGGTAGGTGTCATACTCTGGATAGACTTCAGGGGCACAATATAGGAGAGTGCCGCAGAAAGTCCTGAGGAATGTCTCTTCCTGCACCACTTTTGAGAGACCAAAGTCGGATAATTTCACCTTCAGAGGATCAAGGGATGCAATCAGGATATTATCCGGCTTGATGTCGCGGTGTGTGATCTTGCGTTTGTGGAGATAGTGAAGCGCATGCAAAATCTGCCGCGCCATCGGCCTAACCATGTCCTCCCGAATCCTGCCATGGGACTGCAAATACGTGGACAACTCTCCGCCGGGGACGTATTCCATGATGATGTAAATCCATCTGTCGTACTCGTGATGGTCGACATACTGGACAATGTTGGGCTAAAACGCATGCGAGGTTAATCATGACCCTGATAACTTTAGCGGATGCACTATCACTTACGTGTTTCAGATCTTTCATGATCTTCATTTCATTATCAACTTTCTTGTCAAGTATGCCATTCTTCATGAAGCGGCGCTTGTCAAGCTCCTTCGCTGCGTATACAGCGCCATGCTGTTTTGTCGCGAGTTTATAGACCGTTGCAAAAGCCCCTTTGCCTATCTGGCCAGTCACGTTGTATGTCAAACCACCGGACCAGTGCATGCCGTACGTATTGGGCGACGCCATCTGCAGAGCGGGCGCAGGAGTTGCGCGGGCTTTGGCCCGGACTGCGCCTGCTCGCTGAGTTTCGATCTTTTCGAAGTAATGGAGCATATTCTCCGTGTATTGCATGACAAAGCCTTCCCGGGACGGAAGGCGCACGATGAATCTGACTTCCTCAGAGCCGAGGAGCTCGCCGTTCGGTACCTGAATAACGGAGCCGTTGACAAGCATTCGACTCTTTTCTTTTTGGCTCTTGCGAAGACGGCAGTTGTCTACGATCGTTCCATTTGTGGATGTATCTTCGAGCATTATTATCCCATCTTGCGTGAGATAGATGCGGAAGTGCGTGTTCGAGATACGTTTCGAATTGGCATCCGCAATGAGAAGATCACAGCGAGCTCTGTTTCGGCCAAAGCAAAACCCTGCGTTTGCATCATACACGTTTGATGACAGTCTAAGGGCGAAGTCCAAGGCTGCGGTATCTGAACATTCATATTCTAGCGCATCCTTTTGGAGGATGTGCTGCGGGCGGTGACGAGCGGTTGCGGCTACCGCATCATGAGCTGCAGGTGAATTGGGGTGTAAGATACAAATGATGTCCGTCATATCATCGTCGTGCAGACCGGAGTGGTTGTAGCCCATGCGGCGAGGGTCTGTGCATGGCTGGGTGGACTCCTGCGTCGCCTCCATTTGCACGGATATAATGGCTTCGAGATCGGGCTGGTAAGATGAAGATGATCTGTAAAGGGACACGAGATAGGGAAACGAGATAGGGAAACGAGATAGGGAAACGAGATAGGGAAACGAGGCAAAAATAAAGCAAGCTATTTGACAAGATAGAGAGGGTAGGGTATATGTCGTGAGTTCGAATCTAAAAATGGGAATAGGATTTTGCGTAGCCAAGGCGATGACCAACAGAGATCCATATCACTGTCCTAGCTGATCATAAGTCTTGACATGAAGTTCTTCGTGATGCGTGAATGCTGTTTGTAGCAATGTAGGAATGAGTAGCCGTACCTGGCGAGCAACCAATAGAGCCCGCACTGTATCCCGGCACTTCTAAATACACGCAGCGTATCCAAGCCTCTTCGTACGCGACGAGTACGGAGTGAGGCCAATCGGGGTACCAAACTTGACTTTTATAGGATCCCCGACCAACGAGAGGTAGCTCGGTCTTAGAAGTACTATCCTAGCTCCAACCTCGGCGGCCAACCAGATCGCGACCTGAACTGCTCAAGAATCTGTAGTGCCGGATCATTGAAGCAAGGAGCAAGAGGGGAAAATGTCGAGGGGGGCCCGTTGGGAGGGGGCGTAGGCCTATTTCTATAGCAGGTCGGTAGTAATTAGTCAAGGATGCCCAGTGCACAGGGAAACGGAAATTCAAGGCTCACACAGTTGGCGAACTCCCCACCAGCTCTCCACTGCATAACCCGTAGCTATGGTTGCAATGGAATCACCTTCAGGGGTGGACCCGGGGATGGGAACGAAGCAAGAGGCTGCCCGGCAGGAGTTGTCTAAGAAGCATGCAGCAAGGCTGGGGTGCTGAACCGCCGCTCTTTATTTTGAAGTCGCGCGGAGCCCCAGGCACCAACAAGGCAGCACCCCTGCCGAGCCTGCGCCAATGGGGATGCGCCTTGCCTGGCCGGGCGGGAACACCGCATCTATGAATCCGTGGATCGGCCAAGCCAGATCAAGACGATTATATCTGATATTCATGCTAATCTCTATCGACTGCCATACGCTTTACTCTCGTCAGTGCTACGCTGGTATGTCCCACTCATGGCTGCATCAAAGACCTGCTCCAATCGCGAAAGGGACTCGTCGGATACCTCTGTGAGCACGTCAGGTTCCATTCAGGTCCACTGGGAAATGGAAGCACTTACGGTAGTGGACGACGATACGATTACCCAACAACTTCAAGCCCTTCTCTTGTCCGATTTCAGCCAGATCATTAGGTCCCAGTCCGGATGACTCGATGTCCAGCCACACCATGTTGGTCTCTACAGGATGGGATAACTTGCCTCCACGGCTAGTCCACATATCGGCAACCTTCTTTGCCTTCTCATGCGATCCTATAAGCTTCCCTTGCTTTCCCTGAGGGTCCGGTCCGAATGTCTCCTCAATTGCGACGCGGGCGGCCGCAGAGATGACTCCAGCTTGACGCACACCACCGCCGATGGATTTGCGGAACCACCGAGCCTTCTTGATGAACTCGTTCGAGCCAACAATCATGCTGCCAATGGGAGCACCTAGGCCCTTGGAGAAGCATAGACTCACACTATCAAACAAAGTAGTGTAGTCCGGCAAGCTGCCGGCTCCGGACACCACTGCTTCCCAAAGCCTGGCACCATCTAGGTGAACCTTGATACTGTTTTGATGAGCCCATTCAGTAATGCGCCGAGCTTCAGCAAGTGGCATAACCAATCCGTCCAACGTGTTCTCAAGACAGATGAGCTTCGTGGGGCAATAGTGGATGTTATCACTGAGTACCGCATGTTTCTTGATATCCTCTAGGGTAAGACGGACACCGTTCTTCGGAATGATAGGCATTACCGTTGCGCCTGTAAGGGAGCTTACCCCACCGGCCTCGTAGCAGATGATATGAGAACGGTGGTCGCACAGGACGGAATAAGGAGGTTCCTTCAGATGGGTGCGAATAGCAACTTGGTTACCCATTGTACCTGACATGACCAACAGGGCGCTTTCATGTTGAGTGCGTCCTGCCACGTAAGCCTCGAGATCATTTGTCACTGGATCTTCGCCAAAAACATCGTCGAGAAGGGTAGTCTGGCAAATGGCTTCGAGCATTGCCGGAGTGGGTTTTGTCATCGTATCGCCTTATGGGGCCCGATTCTTAGCATAGCGCACGCCATGATGGCAGCATTCTTGGAGTGTCAGACTCACTTCTCAGGTCAAATTCAGCTGCACCAGCACCCTGCCACGTACTGGGCCTGGTGCTCCCACTGGAAGCTGTTGATACGCTTGCCATGGTGATCCTAGAAGCGACCCTTGGGATGGGGAAAGAGGACTTCAGAGAAAACAAGGAACGAAGAGAAGAGGGAGCCAAAGATCCCATGGAGCCTCAAGATTGGGATGTTGACGCAGGAAACGTGGCTAGGAGAAGCAAGAAGCAGGAAGCACCGGAGCCCCGGCGGGCTGGGATTGGATGGGTCAATCTGTCGGGCATGCGGGGTTATGTGCTGAAAGCATTCCGAAGATGGGAAATGTGACTAATGAGATACTAGATACCGAGTAGATACCAGGTAAGATAACAGTGCCGATTGTGCGTGGCCTTTGCATCGTATTCCGTGGCCGCGAACTATACCGAGTTCATCCTAGTTCTGTCAACGCATTAATCGTGAGAAGAAAGAACATAGAAGTGCCCTACATCTCTGAACAATGCGTTCAGCGGTCTACAAAATTATAAGAGTGTTGTACCTAAGTCCGTCCTCAATTCATACTTTTCCAGTCCCAATGCCACGGAGCCCGCACAAATCTGTCCAAAATGTTTGCCTTTCAATTTATGCGGACTGAATATTGAGTTATGCCTGAGCCTAGAGATAGCTCAGCATTTTATATTAGCGATTTTTGATGTGGTTCGTATTGCCTACTCTCTTAAAGTCTTACGAATCCACTCGTCCTGTTGCAATTCTTTAGCAGAACTACGCTTGGCCGGCTCCCACTGCAGCATTTTGTGCACTAGGCGCAAAAAAACTAGCCTTATCGTCTCCTTCAAGAGTGATTTCCCTCTGCTCAAGCGGAATTGAATTATCCAACAGAGCCTTTGCATAAAAGTCACCTACAGAGTCGGGTTTAGTGAGCGGATACACACAGAATATGGTTATTGACTTTACCCCCATCAGAGAAAAGCTTATGGCTCAAGTTCCCTTGGGCAAGAAGATCGGGTGGAGGGGGCCCAAGTAGCCTTATCATCTCAGCAAGGTGGGCCCGACTTCGATAAGCCTGAGATTCTGGGTCATGGCCGGTGAATAAGGACCCTCCCTCAAGAACGTTCGAAATCTAGAAGACAAGGTGAGTTGTCAGAAATTCGCAATCAGTAATCTCAGAAGATGTATCTTACCATACATCCCACATTCCAGATATCAACGCTGTAGGTCCATGGAGCTTCTAGAATCACCTCCGGTGCTCGGTAGATATTAGGTTGAATATCTTCCAAGTGCTCTATACCACCTGGCATAGCCGAGCCGAAGTCGCATAGAACTGGAGCACCCCATTCCTTGGGGGTTCCGAGCTCCTGAGAGATATAGATGGTTCTTCCATCTACCTCTTCTCTAGGACAGGGGGTGTGAAGCTCGTTCTCTATAAAATCATCGAAGACTGAATCATCGGCGACACCGAACATGATATTGTCGGCCTTGATATCTAAGAGATCTCATGTGTAAGTAAACAATAGAAGTAAGAATGGTGAGCACAAAGTAAATACCAGCATGTATACTATGACATTCTCTATGCAGGTAGTCTAGCGCTAGGAACAGACGTTTGAGTGTAAATGCTAGGACTGGTGGGGGTAGTCTCTGCACTGGGTTACGGTGTAGAAAGGTCAGTACACTTTCGCATAATGGGGGATGTACAAGACACCGATGTTTGTCCTCAAGCCCATCTATATTAAACGAATCAAGTAATGATCTAACAGCACTGCGACCTGGATGATTTGTTGAACCTTTCTCGATGCGTTGGTACATCTGCAGTTCGTCATCCAACTACTGTCCCATAGATATGGAATTGATGAAGATTTTAAGAGCAACATAACGACGGTAACTAGAATCTTGATCTGTGAGACAGCTGAATCAAGATGGAGTTATTGATCATAGACGGTGGATAGTCCTTACTCCATATCCCGCGCAAGCCAAACCGTTGAGCTAGCTCCAAATCCCAACTTTCCTACAATTTGATACTGATTCTTGAGTATATCTCCTATTCGAGCAGGATAATACCGAGAAGCAACATAATCCGGCATGGTTTCTTCTTCAATTTTCTGGGTTACTGGTATCCGGACGTAGTTCGGATTGGAGAAGTTGAGGGGTTTCCATGTCGGTCCAATTCGCCGGGGTAAAGAGCGTAGAAATGACGATAGCATTACCCAAAACAGGAGAAGAGAGGGCTTATTATGAATAGCTCCTTGAGAGTCAGATATCGTATATCTAAGCGGACAGACACCGTAAACAAGGTGTGATATAGACCACGCACCGACTACGCCAAGCCCGCCAGGGGCGCTTTCCCCGAAGCAGAGGAAGAATACCGAGATACAGTAAGTTACCCGGACGGGGCGGAAGCCGGGCCCAGCCACTGAGTGGGAAACACGGTGGCCCGGCTATGACGACAGTGAAACGCGTGCGGCCCTTATCGATTGCCTGAACAGGAATGGTCGACCCGCCAGCGTGTCCCCAGTTGACGGCTGAGTCAGCAGTCGAGATCCCTCTGGACTTTTGCAGGCAAGTTTGCGCCCTGATTTCAGTTCGTCTCGCATCTTCAGGCGGGCTCACGGCCAGACGCACTCCCAGGCCTGGGTTCAACACATCTCATGTCTACTGCCATGGATCTATCCCGGCTCACCCGCCCTGCGATCCTCTGCCAGTGTTCACGATGCTCGAGCTCGCTGGCGGCGCTGGAGAATGAGTGGGCCAAACTCTCGAATTCTTACTCCATAGCAGCTGGGTGGCTAAGCGTCGAGCTGCATCGCATTTCCATCTCCTCGGACAAGAAACAAATACCGCAGTCATCGGAGCTGAGTGTTCTACGAGGCTGTATCCTCCAAGAGATCTCCTGTAAACTCTGTCAACAGAAATTGGGAGTCCTCTGCTCGCTGGACAATGGGTAAGTGGGGGAATGCCGAAAAGTCTTATGATTCAGGTCCGATTAACACAACATCAGCCCCAATATCTTCTGGAAGCTATCGAAGGTCTCCTTTCGGGAGATTGTTACCATGCGCACCGTCGAGCCCACGTTCAAAGATGGAACTCTCGAACGCCTCCTATGTCCGACCCCCTCCAGACAAGAGAGAACCCCAGTCCAGCCGGGAGCTCTGGTACCCACCGGCTCGACGGAGATGGATCCCTACAGCATATCCGTGGAACAACAGATCCAACACCAGGGGCTGAGCCTCGATCACATCTCATGTTCCGTCAGCAACCTCCACGATACCATGTCCGAGTTAAAACATGCATTCACCGCTCTCCGTATCGAATTGAACGGCCCGGGTCGGTTCGCGTCTGAGATGGGCACTCCCGCTAGCAAGGACATGATGATTGCTACAGTGTTGAAGGAACTCAGATCTAAATCCGACGAAATCGAAAGACTGAAGCTGGAAAACGAGACGCTCAAGCTAAAGAACCGCTACGCAGAGGAACAAGCAGTCAAGCAACAGCCGCAGCAACCACCACCCCTGTTGGCTGACACAGGGATGCTTCCGGAAATCCGCAGTCCAGGTCTACTGCAGGGGAGCAGGAAGCGGCCATGGCCAGACTCGTTCCCGAGTGGTCGCACCCAACCTATACTGGACTCGTTTGACGACGACTTGGACAGCATTGCGGACTTTTCCTTGGAAGACGCCAGCATACCTCCAGTAAAAATACCTCTCAAGGATGCTCAGTCCGTATCTACAACAGACAAAACACAGGAGCCCACACCGTCTGGGTCGCCCGGACTTCGCATTGAAGTCAACCAATCACGACACCAGACCCCCAATACTGGAAACGAAATGGATGAGAATCACGACAGCACCACAAGCACACATCGGGAAGCCATCGTGAAACGTCCCCGCCTGTCCCAAACAGCCGACAAACCCACGACTACTGGAAGAAAAGTTGGACGACCGCCACGCAAATCATTCAGCCAGGCCTCAAAACCAGACATCAATAGCATCCCAAGCCCCAAACCGACACCACTGGCCGAGCAAAACGGCAACGCCTACAAGGATTCCCAACCTGCTGAACCCAGCCCCGGTGACACCCGCACATCGAAGGAAACCCGGCCTACGCGCTCCCGGAGCCTGCGCAGCCGATCTCGACCTCCATCACGGCGTCAATCCGCAGCTATGACAGAAATCTACCCACCCGAGCCGGACCAGACCCAAAATGGCCTCCCTAACGGGGATGCCCTAGACCAGACTGAAGAGCAGCAACACCAACAACAACCAGCACCCCCACCACACGCGGGCAAAGAAAATTCACACATTCCCCCAAACGGCATCCAGAAGCCCGAAACACGAGAAAAGCGCAAAGCACAATCCGCAGCGCGAGACATAATGGTACGATTAGCAATGCAACGCGAGGAAGCAATGGAAACCGAGGATTCGCGATGAAGGCGGAAATTAATATCTGGAAGCAATCAAGCCAGCTAGCAAGCTAGACTGCCCCCTTCACACTTTCTCTACCACTGTATTATCTATATTGATTGACGTGACGTGACGTAACCGTCCTTCCCTCTTCTATGATGTGTTTGTACAAAAGTGGCCCTTTCTCCTTCACACACCCACACGAGTAGTATGACTCTACCACTATTCCTTTCCTTTCTTTTCCTTTTTTCCTTTCACTGGGCTCAAAAAGTGCTAGTCTAGTTTTGTTTTGCCAGAAGATATCCCCAAGTTGGTCTGGTCCTATCCATCCCAACCCAATCAATCCAATCCAATCCAACACAAGTTTTTTCATTCCAAAATCGTCGTACCCGTCAGATGTATCGGGTAGGTAAATAATACAAGGTAGGGATAAAAATATATCGGTGATGAGGCCATAAACAAGGACGAGCGCAATCCATCAAAGCATGGGGAACTTTCGAAAGAGCCCTCGAAAGGCATTTCTAAACAGCGCCCCAGCTCGAAACCACCATGCACTGTACCTTGACCCCGGTCTGCTACCTGGTTAAAAACAGAGTCCTATGTAGGAAAGTAACAAGGCGAAAGTAAAGGCAAGACGTTATTTACTTCACACACATGAACCCGCAGCCTTCTCTGGCGCGCTCACAGGCCTTCTTGAGCGCCTGCTCCTCGGTGTCGGTCCACTTGACGGTCAGTTCATCCCACGGCTTGCGGGAGTTGAATTCCTCGCGGAAGGTCTTGTGCATTGCTTGGAGGCGGCTGACTTGGCGGGGGTCGCCGGTGCCGGAGTAGACGACGAAGAGCGTGCAGGGAGGCAGGGATTGGTAGATTTGGTGGATGCTGGAGACACTGCGGGACACGGAGTCGGACAGGTTCCGAGTGGCTTCTTTGGAGGTCGGCACCGCGGCGGAGGTCGGTGTGGTTTCTTCGGGTGGGGGGACGAGCGTCGTCGACTCGTTGGCGTTGTTGGGATCCGGCAGCCGGTTGCACCATCCGCGATACGCCTCCAGTTCACGTAACCGTCCCCAGGTGAAGTCCACCCCACTGCCGGGGATGGAAGGGTTGCTGGCGTCGCCGTTGACTACCGAGGAGATGCCTTTGACAACATCGTTGTCGTCGCTGCACCCGATCGCCACAGTTGCCTGCGACCCGAAGCCGCGCTCAGGGTTACCCCAGTCGACAACGGCGCCCGTGCGGCCTTCACTGGTCGATGACTTGCCTGAACGCACGGAACGTGCGAGACGCTTGAAGATGCTCTCGTTGGAGGCCTCGCTGGTGCCCCATCGCTCGCCCTTTTCGCATTTCTGCTTCACAAGTTCGAGCACAGCGCGAGCATCTTCGATCGAGTCATGGCCGGTTTGACCTTTCTGGATCTCCTTGCCCATGTACTTCTGGGTAAGCCATCTCAAACTGCATTTGAGCGGAGGGCCGCGGGGGTGGGGGTAGATGAAGGTGGTGTCGACAATGAACGGGTGCGTAAGTTTCAAGGCATTCAGGTCGGAATTGAGGGAGTGACCGACGAGGATCGTACGGGGAGATAGAATGGAGAGGAGCTTCTGTTGGATGTCGGAGAGTGTGGTGGTGACGGAATCTAGTAACTCTTTCGTGATACCAGAAAATCGAGTCAGATAATCGATGATGGGCCGCTGGGGTTTCACCAGCTCATCTAGTACGACTTCCCCGTCCCAACGAACCATGCTGATGCGCGTGAGCTCGGATTGACCCCCTTCTGTCACGCACATCTCGCAATCCAACGCCAACACATCCCGGCCTGCGGTCATGCTTCCTTGTTGGATTTCCGAGTCCGGGATTTGCCCGGCTTCCAGACTCTCAACATGGGTATCGACCCATCCGTCTTCCGTGGACTGGCCAGCCCGCTTGCGGCTCTCCATCAGAGCCGACTTCTCTTGTTCTGAAGTGAGCAGAGCCGGATGAAGGACGTAGTCGTTTTCCCGAAGATCCTCGACGGAACTGATGAAAGTAGTGATCGGAGTGCGCTGGAAGACAAGACTCTTGTCCACCCTCGGCGGTTTCGCTCCTTTTGTGTTGCTGTCCTTGGTTTTGGGCAGCGCAGAGAGTAGAATCGCTTGGAGCGGCGAGTGAATCTTGTTGTACTTGGAATCACCGGGGGCTCTCACGGGCCAGGCGTGAGGGAAGATGTCCGCTAGAGGCCGCAGGGGTGCTGGAAGGTCCCCATGGGAAAGGGGACGGGGGTTGAATCGATGCGATCGATCCTCAAGCGGCAGGCCTTGCTTCCAGCGAGCAAAGTCGGCCGCTTTGGGGTCCTCCTCCATCGCCTCCCCATCCGCTGTTTTGCCCTGCTCCTTTTCACCGATGGCCGCCTTCTCATCACTTACAGCATCCACATCCAGAGGCACTGACCCATCAAACATGCCAAGTTCCAGACCAGGCACCATTAATACGACAATCTTCCTGACGTGACCGGAGTGCTTGACTGAGATCCATTGTGGTGCGATGCCATCAGCGAAGCAGTAGAGTAGCAGACTCTGAAGGTCCGCAATTCGAATGGATGATTGCAATCGACCTTCGACGTAGGTGAGGACCGGGTATTTCGTTTTCTCTCCATCCACGCGCTTCTTCTTTGAAGCTCTTTGCTCTGTCATGACATCTTGCGCCTTCCGTGTTTCTTCCGATGAAGTAACGCTGTCGTTTGATGTCGATTTGCCCGAATTCAGAAGTGAAAGTGTTTGGCCTATGCCGAAGCTATTCGCCGCATCCGAAGTATTCCTGACCGGGTCTTCGTCATCGGAGCAGCCAGCTTCTGTACGCTTGCGCTTAGCTCCTGCCATTCTGTATGGGCGGCGGCGGCAAAGAGCAGGAATAAGAGGGTCGGGGGCTCCGAACGTGTGGTAGCTGCAGAAGAACCTACCAGGTACGTCGACTGTTCTTCCGATATCGCAACGCCAGTTCACACGGGCGCGAATTGGTCTAGACAATTGTGGGAGATTGGCGCGACATTGAAGATCGACGGAGGTCGCGCGACGAAGAATCCCGACTTTTGGGGCACGTGATGATAGCCTATCTAGTTACCGTACCGTACGGTTGCCATGCAGGATTCCGGCCCATCGCCGATTGCGTGCGCGCAGGCTGTTCCTGCGTAAATTTGCGGCAATCACTATGATATACCTAATATTCAGAGTCCACGACTAAGAAAAGTCTCCCTTCGAGCCAACAGTAGCAGTCCTAGGTGAATACCATCAACCTTGGCATCTTATCGGTGCTAACTCACCCTCGGAGCAACTGATCCTCCGTGTTACGCCGAAGATCGCAGGGGAGAAAGCGGGTAACGATGGTGTATTACAAACGCCCCGATGAGTTCGATCTGATAAGCGGCCAAAAATTCGCCATCGGTCAGCGATCTTCCCTTCTCCTCCTCATCTTCTCTCCATTTCGGCCAGACCGCGGGGCACATCGTGACTCTTTTCCTCTACCACTCGTCATTCAACCCCCAAATCTCCGCCATTACCAATCTCCTCTCTCTTCCCTATATCGAGTCATTCATCTAAAATCCTCCTTTCCTTCTCACATCACCAAGCGCCAAGTTTTCCCCGCCTGATACCCGCCATAGTCATCACCACCCACCATGTCCGCTCTCGTCGAAGTCGCCTCGGAGGCCGAATTCCCCACCATTATTTCCTCCCTCCCCCCATCATGCCTTCAGGTCCTCTATTTCCATGCTCCCTGGGCCGCTCCCTGCGCCCAAATGCGCGCAGTCCTTTCTGCGCTCGCCTCCCAGTACCCCGCTACTACTCCTCCCTCGATCGCGTTTCTCAGCGTTAACGCCGAGGAACTCCCCGACATCTCGGAAGAATATAATGTCACCGCGGTGCCCTTCGTAGTCCTCGTTCGGGACAACAAAATTCTTGAGACTATCAGCGGCAGCGAAGCAATCCAAGTGCGCGATGCTGTTGAACGCCACGCCGGTGCCGCAGCCGCAGACGGCCTCCCCAAGACCACCATCATTCCGCCACCGCTGACTGCCGTCCCTCGAGAGAATGCCCCCACCACCGCTACGCAGGCGCCTGCCAATGGAACCACAGCTGCCCCGGAATTGACCCCCGAGCAGTCGAAAGAGGCGCTGTTTGCCCGGCTCGCGGAGCTGGTAAAGGCCGCACCGGTGATGCTGTTCATGAAGGGAACACCGAGCTCGCCGCAGTGTGGGTTCAGCCGTCAGCTTGTGGGTATTCTGCGTGAGCGGAGCGTCAAGTATGGCTTCTTCAATATCTTGGCGGATGAGGACGTTCGACAGGGTCTGAAGGAGTTTGCCGACTGGCCTACTTTCCCTCAACTGTGGGTGGAGGGTGAGTTGGTCGGTGGTTTGGATATTGTAGGTTTTCCCTCTCTATGCCCTATCATATTTTACCCTTTCGTAAGGTCTTCTTTCCGGCGAATGCAATGCTAATATGAAAATAGGTCAAGGAGGAGCTTGAAAATGACCCAGAGTTCTTGGGTCGGTTCTCCGTTAACAAGGCCCCCAGTGCTGCTTAGGACTATAGAATATGTCAATAATATTTAAGGATTCGATTGTATTCGGTAGTATTATCCTTGTTCTTTTCCATGTTTCTCTTCTTGCAGTATCCATTGCAACCGCGATTGTTAGAGCTTGAGATCTAGCGAGTTGTTTATTTCGATATCTACATCTTATTTCCTTTATTTACGTTCCGTTGATTACACAGTACTGGATGGTGCAAGTATCATGCTCATGCGAAGTGCAGAGAGATTAAATTAAAATCGGACCGAGAATCATAAATTAAACCGCTTGTTTCATTTAGCATCATCTATGCGATTTATGTCCAGGTTGGGGTATGCGAGCCATGCCTGTATGCAGCATGTATCAAAGGTATGAGTTCGTGAGGAAGGGTGGAAAGATGGATGGATGCATGGGTTAGCGTAGGTATCCTGGCCATGGTTGTTGCTAGGATACATCACTTACCGATCCTGAGTTGTAATGGTCATTTCAAGCAGTTCGACGTCTTGTGCTTGTATCTCCATGGATTGGGATACTCATAGCAGATGTCTTAATAGCATGGCATGTCCGTTGACAGCCGGTCCAACAAGTCAACTGTTTTCAAAGATGACACATTTACCGGCCGCAGCAAGCTAGTCTGCTAAGAATAGTGTGAAGTCATACACACACGATCTCTGCACTGCAGTGAAGATCCAGAGAAGTACAGGGAAAGTCAAGCGCATCACTTGAACCGAGGTTTCCCAAATCCTCCTGTTCCAGGCAGCCAGGCAGCAAGGCAGCAAGGTAGCAAGGCAGCAACTTTAGGCACAAGAGAATATATACTAGTAGGGATAAGCTAAATGTCCATCAATTAGAAAAACAACATAAATAACAAAAACACTCTATACGTACCAGTCACCTCATCACCCAGTAATAAATAGCCCACCAGTCCGCAGAACCATGCCTATCCTTCGAGCGTTGCTATCTATAGATCCGATGGCCACCCGAATTCTTAATCTCCGGAGTCCGTCCGGAGAAAAGCCAGGCACACGTCATACCTGAGCATCATTTTACCCTTTTTTTTTTGCCCGTTGTCGGGATCCCTCCCCGACACAACACAACGATGTCAACCCATTCATAACCCTCTACCACCCATACTCCCCATACAATCTCCGACTCATCTCCATCGCTTGACCGATCACCGTCACATGCATGTCGGCCGGGGGAGAACACCTCAAGGATGAGGTATGCCACCAGTCCTCCCCGGAGCGCACGAATCCACCCACCCATTCATCCAACCAGCCAGAAAGCCAGCCATGACCTGGCGCATTGGGCTCAAGTGTAGTAAATCAATCGACGCGCGCAAGCTAACCACCACCATTATACTCACCAGGGCACACGACGCCAAGTCGTCCTGGCAGGTGGCATTGCCGGTCTCGTGTCACGGTACGCACCCCCTTGCCAACACCACCACCACCACCAACCACCCATCCTAACACCCACATCTATCAAACTCCAGATTCTGCGTCGCCCCCCTCGACGTCGTCAAAATCCGCCTCCAGCTCCAAATCCACTCCCTCAGCGACCCAATCTCGCATCACAATGTAACCGGCCCATCTACAAGGGAACCCTCTCCACAATGAGGGAAATCATCCGCCATGAGGGTATAACAGTGCGTTCTGCCCCATACCTTCGTCCTCTTCGTCCTTCCCCCGAGATCCTCAAATCTCACATATACAATGATAAATCCAGGGCCTTTGGAAAGGCAACATCCCCGCCGAAATAATGTACGTTTGTTACGGAGTGATCCAATTCAGCGCCTACCGAACAACTACCCAAGCTCTAGCACAACTCGATCCGCATCGACTCCCTCCATCAGTAGAATCTTTTGTCGCCGGCGCAGCTGCAGGCGGTCTCGCCACGGCGTCAACGTACCCGTTGGATTTACTGAGGACGCGCTTCGCTGCGCAGGGCACAGATCGGATCTATACGTCGTTGTTTTCGTCGGTTAGGCATATCGCCCGAAATGAAGGGTATAGAGGGTTTTTTCGCGGGTGTAGTGCTGCCGTTGGGCAGATTGTGCCTTATATGGGTTTGTTCTTTGCGACGTATGAGACGTTGCGGCCGCCGCTGGCACAGTATCAGGATCTGCCGTTTGGGTCGGGGGATGCCGCGGCGGGGGTGATTGCGAGTGTGTGCTCGAAGACGGTCATGTTTCCCTTGGATTTGATCCGGAAGCGGCTGCAGGTGCAAGGTCCTACCCGCCAGTTATACATCCATCGCAATATTCCCGAGTACCAGGGCGTGTTCAATACAATGGCCCTGATCTTACGGACTCAGGGTGTGCGCGGACTGTATCGCGGCTTGACGGTCAGCCTGTTCAAGGCCGCCCCCGCTAGTGCGGTGACAATGTGGACCTATGAAACTTCTTTGCGGCTGCTCCAGGATATGGACGTGGCTACGAGCAAGGACGATTGAGCACACATGGACTTACGTGATCACAATACCTAATCTGTATAATATTGGATAACATATTAGACTTTTCGATATCCCGTGCTGGGTTCCTTCTCGCGTCCTTTCAAAAGACAGACAAATTCATGTGCTCATCTTCTTCGACGGCGGCTGGGCCGATTTATTATTGGGTAAGAGCTGGGAAGTTAAGATAACGCTAGAGACGCTAGAGACGCATGAACGGAAGGGGGTGTCGCGAGCAGAAGGACAGGATAGACACAATTTGGACAAGTGAAGTTAGACAGACCAAGAAAAGAAGCGGCCAAAGCAGAACGAGCCAAGAGGTGTGGAAGGATCAGTACTCAGCCTCATCCTCTTCACCCTCCGCCTCGGCGTTATCGTTGGCAACCTCCTCATAGTCCTTCTCCAACGCAGCCAGGTCCTCCCGAGCTTCGGAAAACTCGCCTTCTTCCATACCCTCACCCACGTACCAGTGCACGAATGCACGCTTCGAGTACATGAGGTCAAACTTGTGATCGAGACGACCCCAAGCTTCGGCAATAGACGTTGTATTGGAGAGCATGCTGACGGAGCGATCGACAGGAGCGAGCTCGGTGTCAGGAACGCGAACGGGCTTCTGGTAGTTGATACCCAATTTGAAACCGGTAGGGCACCACTCAACGAGGTTGAATGAGGATTTGGCCTTGAGGGAGGCGATAGCCTGGGTGCAGTCACGGGGTACAACGTCACCACGGTACAGTAGAGCAACTGCCATATACTTGCCCTTGCGAGGATCACAGACAACCATCTGGTTGTTTGGTTCAAAGCCTGTAAGCTAGCGTTAGTCATATAACATCCCCAACGATAGTGCTAGGCAGTAGTACGTACACTGGAAGGTAAGGTCCTGCACCTTGAAGCTCTCGTGGGAGCTGCGACTGCTCGAAACCACGGGGGCATACGAGATCAAGGGATAGTGGATACGAGGGAATGGCACCAAGTTGGTCTGAAACTCCGTCAAGTCCACATTAAGGGAACCATCAAATCGGAGACTGGAGGTGATTGAGCTGACCACCTGGGCGATCAGGCGGTTGAGATGCTCATAGCCAGGACGCGGAATATCGAGGTTCCGACGGCAGATATCGTAGACAGCCTCATTGTCCACCAAGAAGGTGCAGTCAGCGTTTTCAATAGTGCTGTGGGTGGACAGGACAGCATTGTACGGCTCAACGACGGCGGTCGAAACACGAGGAGAGGGGTACACCGCGAACTCAAGCTTGCTCTTCTTCCCATACTCAGCGGAAAGACGTTCAAGCAACAGAGCACCAAACCCGGATCCTGTGCCACCGCCGAAAGAATGGAAGACCAGGAATCCCTGAAGGGAAGAGCAATTATCTGTTGGGCATAAGCCTAATTCACAAGGAAAGTCACATCCTGAAGGGTTGGAAACCTACCGGCAACACGACGGATACGGTCGGCGACTTCTTCAACGAGCTCCTTTCCGATTGTGTAGTGTCCACGAGCATCTGCCATAAATCAGCTTCCGTGCCCAGATCTGGTGGGATGGGATCGTACAATTGTTGGCCGCGTCTTCCTTCCCACTAATCAGCATTTCCGGGTGGAAGAGTTGACGGTATTTGCCGGTGCGGATTTCATCGACAGGCTGCATCCACCAATTCAGCATACACCTCAAAAGAACCACATTCTTGTGATGAAAATGTCATACCGATGGGTCCAGATCAACGAAGATGGAACGAGGGACATGTTTGCCATTGCCGGTCTCGCTGAAGAAGGTTTCGAACGAACCGCCCGAATTAATCACATCAGACGCGTCGGGATTGAGTTGGCCATCTGCCTTAAGGCCATGCTCCAAGAGATATCTGTGTGAATCGCAACAAGCTCAGTATGATGTCGCTTTTAAGCTAGCGGGTCCGGGGTACAGTAAAAAGCGGTGGGGACGTACAGCTCCCAAGCACTGTTACCAAGCTGAATACCAGCCTGGCCAATGTGAATATGGCAAATCTAGACAAATCTACGCGTTAGAACAACCAGAATTTGACCTCGCTCAAGACGTTGCGTGAGATTGGATAGGTGAGATTGTGAGTTGATGATCTGAGGAGGGGGTAACAGTGCGGGGGCCTTGGTAACTAAAACGGGGGAGCCATACCTCGCCTCGCATGTTGGAAACTGAGTCCGGCTGTCGATGTGAAACGAGACAAGAACTGTCCCAGTAGTCGTAGGATAGAGATCGAAAGAATGGGAGCAGCGAACAGTAGGTCAGAACCCAGAGGATGATGGAGGAAGCAAAGGAAGTGAAGGAGGAAAGGACGACGAGTTGCTATGGTATGGACAATGACCGGGAAAGCGTTGGTTCTTGCCGGTCCAATAAACAAGCCTCGCTCAGCCAATCAGTGACCGCCTTTCTCCCCTGACCGACCGATCAGTTGATCAAACGGAACCGCGCCTTCCAGTTCACAGAAAAGCGACCAACAAACGGACATGGCGCCTGGCTCTGGATCTTCATCTATCGATTGCGAGGTGTTTTGCGTCTTTATCTCCTTCACTCCCTCTTTATCCGGCATCTTGCTATTCCCCACATGTCTCCAGTCGTGGAATGCGGAGAAGCTGCTTTTGGATTTTGAATACTGCCTATCTATGTGACAGTGGTATGACTTGCACAGACATGATGTCCGCTTGCAAAATTATCCCCCCAAAAAGAAAGATACAATGAGCCCAGTGGTGGAGATATGAAGTTGTCGGTTCCCTTTTCGACACGACAATCAACCGCACTACCATCACTGCTCACTAAACACAAAGACTTTCGAGAGCAAAGTCTAGCCGAGGCATGACCGATAAATGTTTCGAGCTGGTTAACAATAATTGAAGCATCGATAACAACTGTATACAGGCCGGGCGGAGTGGGAAATTTTATTGAATGTCAACATAGTATTCTAACCAAAGATTTTGAGTCGTTGACGACGAATGTCATTCTAGTGGAATCAACCTGAGTGCTATATCATTCGGCCAGTCTCCACCGACTTCTCATAACGGTGATTCTAGGCCTCGTCTATCGTGCAGACAACCTTGTGATCTTCAGTGACATGGCGGGGCAAGACACGTCAACAGCCGGAAGGGGAACTGCCAATGGATTATCTCTGCTGGGAGCAACCATGCTGAGTTCCGATGGCCCAATCGAGATTGAGCTATTCTTTGAAAGTCGTTTTAGAGCAAGTGGAAGAATTGACGGCTCAAGACACACCCATGGTACACGCTTTGCACATGCACAATAATTATCGGCTGTGTATCTATCGGATTACATAGTACTTATACAATATCCACAATGGTGTACTGTCCACAGAACCACATACCGCGCGCATAATAACCTTATACCCTTGAAATCTGCCCAGTTGAACATAGTCAATTTGTCTGTTTTCAACCACGACCAATATTGACAATATGTGAGTCAGCTGTGTGCTACATTGTCATCAGTTATAATAATATGCAGTCTTATTTATCTCTTTCAGCTCCCGGAGCAAAGGATCTACTAGAGGGCGCTAGCAGGTAGAAATCAAGTACTGTGGATTCGTCTAGGCTTAGTGTCAAATGTTAGTGCTAAAGCTATGGGCCTGCACTGACTCGAGGCTCACAAACTATAATAGGCCTTTTAAGATGAGCGAAGTGATGGAAAGTACATAGACAATAACTGGGTTGGTTTAACAGGACCGATGAAACGTATCGTGCCCAGCGGCCAAGGTTTCTGAGTGAGTCTCCAAGATTCTACTTTTCATCATTGTCAGGCGCAGACAGCGGAGGACAGCCGGGAGTGCCTGAGGTGGCGTTTCTTGGCGGTGGCCATTCTGATTCAACTCTTCGGGATTTGGGAGCTGGCGGAGCAGTCCGTGCTACGACTACTACTCTAGTAGTATTACTCTCCGCCGTCAACTGACTGATTGGCTCTGCTCTCTTGACTATTGCGTAGCAACAGGTGGGATGCATTGGATCCCCAAAGTTGACGTGTGTCTGGAACCTTCCCACCCCCCTCCCCGTGGCATTGATGACCCTGCAGCTGCAAAGCAAGGCTTCGAGACTATTAACCTAGGTAGATACTGGGTAAAACCGGAGCGCCAAGGGCCCGGCCAACCCAGATAATCTCGCGCTGAGACACCATACTAAAGCTGCAACGATGGAGTACTAACGCAGGTAGTTCGGGTTAGCATCAGGGTGTTCTGGGTCCCAGAGTTTTCTTGGGACCCGTTCTGAAGTTTCTAACGTTAGACCACTGGCCCCACCAGGGCCACCGGCCAGAACCGATGCTGAGAGATGCCCACCCACCGGATCCATATCGATCTTGGTTTTGGATCGCAGAATGGCCGCCACCGCCGTCTGATAACCGCCTTTCCCGATGGCTGAGATCGCCATGGTGTCTGATGATGTGCGTAGGTACTAGGTAGAGAGTTGCGAACTCACAACAATGGTAATCGGCGTAGCATACAATGAATACGACGAAGGATTATCGTCTCATCCAAGAGATCTGATGGAGGATAATCTAGACTGCCATCCCCTCAGGCATCGAGCCAATTGTCCCGTGCGATCGGCATTCTCTCCCGCATCGATCTCCTCTGCTGCTGCTGCTGCTGCTGGATTGACCCAAGGTCCAGCTAGAGCTGGTGCTCTCGGCTTTGCGTGTACCTTTTCTTTCTGTCTTCTCTTTTCTTTTCATTGCCTCTGCTCCCCGCTCTCTTCTGCCTCCTTCTGTCTCCTGTCATCCTTCTCTTCTGTGCCTTCTAGTACAGCCTCCCATCTGCATCGTCTAACTAGCGTCCGCTTATCTCCCGTTCCTTTTTCAGCCACCGGACTGGGGCCCATGCATTATTAGCTTCTCTGGTTTTCGGAAAGATTTCCCACCAGTGTAGGTCAGTCTTCGCCCTTGCTCGTGCGATTCCTGGATTATACCATTCCCTCTTGGGTTCAAAGACAATTCTCCGTCATGTCTCGGTTCATCGTTTATCCTGCCTTGTTCTTTTATGTGTTACTGCGTTTGAAGCTTTGCATGAGTCCTTTTTTATCTACCATGATTTAACATAGTACACAGTCTTCTCTAGACCACCTACATGAGCAGTCCTTGAGCGGGCCGGCATCTCATTTAGCTCTTCACTCTCGACTCCTGGCCTGGTGCCAACATGTCGACCCCCATGGAAGATCGTCCTGCTTCCCATCATACGGAAGAAAAGAGGAAACCCAGACTGGAAGACGGGTCTCCAGACTCCGATGAAGGCACATATGTTTACGACAGCTCAAGTAACGGAAATCACCTTAGAGTCGATACCTCTTACGATGAGCCGGATAGAAACGCCTTGTACTCTCCTGTCACCGCAAGAGAAGAATCTACGCGGCTGGAAGATGACCTAGCGGTTCTGGAGGCAGAGCGGATGGCATCACGTTCCACTCATGAAGGAGGTTCGGAAAAGAGGGTGAATGATGATGGCACGTCCATCTCTCGCTCTCGTTCTCGCTCTCGCTCACGCCGATCCGAAGTCGACGAATTCGACGAGGCCACCAATCCTCTCCACGAAAAAGCTGCAGTGTATAATCCACCCGAGAACCCCAACACCAACATCGCAAGGTTCGTGAAAAGGCTTCACGAGTCTAGTTTTATTATTCGCTATATCACCTACATTGTACCGCTTGTCCTTATCTTGTTGATCCCGTTGCTGGTCGGCGCACTTGCATACCCCGATGCTAGTGTCGGTGGTGTCCGATTGGTTTGGTTCTCGGTGTGGTTGGAGATTGTCTGGCTAACCCTATGGGCTGGAAGGGTAGGTGCTTATACTCGGCTACTCGTTTGCCTGCATGCTAATAAGCTCTTGCCAGATCGTCTCCAAATGTATCCCTATCCCTGTGAGCGCCATTGCTAGTATTTTCACGAACAACGCAAAGAAATGGCGTGATCTGGCCAAGCAATTGGAGCTGCATGGAACCCTGTTCTTCTGGTGGCTGGGCGTGGAAATATCCTTTTTGCCCACGATGAAGAATCACCATGTGGATGGGAGACATGCTACGCGCTCGTGGGAAAACACAGTCAACAAGATTATCATTTCCGTCTTTGTTTGGACGATTTTGAACCTCGTTGAGAAATTCATCATCCAGCTGATCGCCATCAACTTCCACACGCGTACCTACGCGGATCGAATTGAGATCAACAAATTCCAGATCGGCAGCTTGACCAAACTGTATGCTTTCTCCCGGCAGAAGATCTCTGCCAAGGACACGGAATTCGAAGAGAAGCAGCAGCCCGGTACTAAGACTCCTATGAAGATCCCGTTCCACTACGCCGGAAAGGCAGGTCGATTTGCCAAAGGTGCCTTGCACAAGGTTGGCGACGTCGCTGGCGCAGTTGCCGCAGACTTTACTGGTCGCACAGCCACTAATAGCAACCACCCGTACCAGGTGGTGCTGACTTTGTTGCGGACCACCAGTGGTTGTCAGGTCTTGGCTCGACGTCTTTACCGGACTCTTGTGCGTGATGGATTCGAAACCGTTTTCTCGGGCGATTTGAAGGAGGCATTCGATAACAACGAAGAAGCTGAGGCGGCATTTACAATGTTCGACAAGGACATGAACGGAGACATTTCTATGGAAGAATTGGAGGCGGTTTGCGTGGAGATTGGACGCGAACGCAAGGCCATTACCGCGTCACTGAAAGATCTCGACTCTGTCGTCAGCAGACTTGACAATGTTCTCGAATTCTTTGTGGTACTCATCACTTTGATTGTTTTCCTGACTTTGATTTCCACGTCGGCTGCCGGCGTGCTCACGTCTGCAGGCTCTAGTATTCTGGCACTGTCCTGGTTGTTCTCTGCAACTGCACAGGAACTGCTCCAGTCACTCATCTTTGTGTTCGTCAAGCACCCGTTTGATGTCGGTGACCGGGTGACAGTCTATGGTAACTCTGGTGATGCGGGCTTGGGAGATGACTACTTCGTCAAGCAGATCTCTCTTCTGTACACCGAGTTCAAGAAGATGCAGGGCCATGTCGTGCAAGCCCCCAACAGCTACCTTAACGGTCTTTTTATCCTCAACCAGCGCAGATCCGGTGCCCTTGCTGAGGCCGTGCCCATTGTCATCAAGTACGGCACGACGCTTGAGCAAATTGACGCCCTTCGTCAACGACTGCTGGAATTTGTTCGCAGCGAATCCCGCGAATTCCAGACCAATATCCTCACTGAGATGCGTCAGGTGACCGAAAACTTCTCTGTTACTCTCAATGTTGTCTTCTTCTACAAGTCGAACTGGCAGAATGAAGGCTTGCGTCTACAGCGCCGCAATAAATTTATCTGCATGCTCATGCTCGCCTTACAAGAGATTGGCATCGAGGGACCACGCATGAACCTCCAGGGTGCCCGTGTCGACATTCCCTTCCATGTCGCTGGGTTCCCATCTCATGTTGCTTCCGGCGGTAGTGATGGTCGGCCTCCGCCAACTCCTGTCCATGACAACAATTCTCTTCACGAAAACTCCGGCTTCAGTAGCGCTACGCGCCAGCATTCTATTCTCCGCAGGGGCATAGATACCGCCACTGCTCGCGCCCGTGGGGACTCGATGCACACGCGGAAGCATGTGGACTTCTCTCTCGGAATGCGCGACATTTCTTCCGGCGACGTTATGGGCGACGTGTTCGAAGACCGCCGCACTCGAGTGGATGATGTTGTCCGAATGGCCAACCGGGAAACAACGGAGCGTCGCATCCAGGAAGAGGAGGAGGAGGCCGAGCGGCAGAGCCGTGCATCTACCTCCCATCACCGACGAAGCCACTCGAATCTCAGCGTGCCATCTGTTGCGCACACTGGTCGCCAGTCGATGGAATCCCAAGGTGGCCACAGTTTGTCGTCTGTGAGCCGCGGTCGGTTCTTCCGCCATCGCAACAGTGTCAGCAGCCGTGGGGGGGCTGACCTGGAGCAAGGGCCATCTCATGGTCAGCCTCAAGTCCGCAGTGTCTCGCCTGGTGTGAAGGAGCAATGATCTCTTAGCTTGTGCGGCAGGCATTCTGGAAATGACTGCCTCACTACGTCATTACTCGAGACATATTTTATATATATTTCCCGTACATAGAAAAGGCGGCGGTTTGGTTATGACAGACGTCCTGTGATGTCACTGTTGATCAAGTTTGCTTTGCCAGGTGGGATTAGACTAATTGTTGAGACCTGCATATCAGGTTTTTTTCTTGTACTTTGTTAGACGATATAGATTCAATAATATTGCACTGAAGTGTTTCGAATCATACCATCAATCCCAAATATTCTCAAGATTTGGTTAGCATCATAGCCACCCCTTCATAGTCCTCCATGGAATTTCCTATCTTGAAGATAAAGCGTCGCCAGATATACTACAACACCACTAGATCAAACCCCAATCAGATGCCGAACAAGGCTACTGTCTTCAATGATATCAGTTAAAACCAAATCCCTACCAGGGTAGATCTCGCAGTAGGTGCTCATCACATGTATTCCCCCATTCCACTGGGCCCTTCCCTCCTTCCCTCCCAGGCAACTAGACCTTCCCTCTCAGCAATGGTATATCACTATGCCCAATTCAGCACAACCTTTCCCCAGTGACAATAAATATACCGAATTACTTCTCATTTCATATCAAGACAGTCTAATACGTACATCTAACCCCAAAAGAGAAATCCACAATGATAAGTAGGAACCCGAACTTCCCCCCCCCCCACCCACACCAACACACAACTACTTAGACAATACATACCAGTAACCAATCACCTCCCCTCAAGAGCATTCACACAGAGGAAGGAACTACCTTCTCCCTCAACCAGGAAACCACCTCCGGGATACCTTCCCCAGTTGCCGTCCCAATAGCGCGAACTTCCTAGTAGTAAAGTAAATATATAGCGTTAGCCACACCCACCTCATTCAACAGACAAATCTCAAATAAATATACTATCAATAGATATACATATAGTACTATAAGAGAGCGAGAGAGAGAAAGAGAGAGAGAGAGAACCATACCCAATTTACCCCCAACTCATCCATCCTCAACCCCTCAACCAATTCCCTCGCTTTCAACTCATCCTATCCCAGAACCGTCAGCACTATCCCCCCAAAACAAACACAAAGTATAAAACCAACTCACCCTCCCCTCCCCCTTAAAATTAACCACAACCAACCACCTCCCCCTCTCCATAACAGTAACATACCCCTCTCCACGCTTTTTCATCCCAAGAATCAAATCCAAACACCCCCTCACCTCCCCCACCTCCAGCGGATTAAAATAATCCACGACGACAAGAATCGCACACGCATCCACATAAAACCCCGTGGTGGCCTTAATCCACCACCTAGGGGCACTTTCACCAAGTTCCACGAGCACGAAATCCATGCCCAGGTGGTGGTTACTTGCAAAGTGAACGTGTGCGGAGACGGTGATGTCGGGGGTGTAGGAGCTGATGGGGGTGGTGGTGAGGTGGTTGAGGAGGGCGTGTTTGCCGACGGAGGAGAGGCCGATGAGGGCGATTTTGGGGGGTGAGGTGTGGGTGGGAGGGGGGTTAGGCAGGGAGGGGTTGGTGAAGAGAGCGCGGAGGCGGGTGATGAAGGGTATGTGTATGGGCATGGGTATTGGGCGCATTGCTAGGTTGTTGTTTGGGTTATTGCGGTTGGGGATATGGGTTGTATTTAGAGAGATGGGAGGAAGACGGTGGCTGGAGGTGATATCGTTAGCTCGAATTACAGATAGGTAGAGCCCCTGAGGACCCCTGTCGAGTTCCGAGCCATACCTCATGAGTACACCACTAGTGTATATATCTACTTTCATAGTGTCTGAAAAAAGTGAAGAGAAAAACTAAACTCTTTTTTTGAAATCCGGTACGTATAGGTACATACACAATTTTGCGGCCAAGGAGAATCGAAAGTTGAACAAAGGAAATGGATATGCGCCTGGATGATGAGACAGAAAGCAACTGGATGATAAAGCGGAGAACAGCCCAGCAGAAAAGAACAAAAGAGTGAACTCAGACAGCCTGGTTGAGATAACAACACTCCCAAACACCCGCTAGCCTTGACACGCGTAAGAAAAATGAATCAATATGAGACAACAAAGTGGTGAATGTAATTCTGAAAGGATCAAGGATCACAAGCATGGAGAAAAGGCCATGCATTGCTTGTGAGATATATGGTGAATCTCTGAAACAGGAGCGATCACTTCGAAATAAGTGTCCAACAAAAGCGCACAGTTCTGGAAGACAGCAACAAGGTCTATCTTTCATCGCAAGATAGCAAATCTATCTCTCTGATGGACTAGGGAACGCATCGAGGTAAGGATTGGGAGATGGGGTGTGCAACGGCCGAGGAGTGGCATCGGCATCCAGGTACTGGTCGATATCGGCTTCGGCCCCAAATTCGGAAATGAAATCATCCCCGGGCATCTTAATGCACGAGTCGGGATCTTGGCCTGCAGGATCAACATCCCCATCTCTCGAGAAAACGATCGGGGGTGTAATATGCCCCAGTTTCGGTGTTTGAGTGCTCGCCTCCATGCCCGGCGCAGCTGAAGTCTCCGTGAAGTTCGGCGAACTGGGTCGTTCCGAGAAGATGGCTGGGAAGTCTGAGTTCAGGCCCAGCTCCAAGGTGGGGGAATGCTTGGGACTGTATCCTTCCACCGACCCCGCTATAGCCTCCTCGGGGATGTTAAGGTCCCCAAAGCGACTTCTCAGGCTTGGGCTCAGCGGAGAGCGAGAGCCAGGGCGCTCCTCCCCGCCATCACTGACGCGGTCGGAACCTCCACTGCTGCGTCGCTCCAACGACTCCCTCTCTCGCTTGAGAAGCTCTTCGCTTCCACTGACCACACTGCCCCTACTGTTGGTTCTCATCATCTCAATGCCCAGCTTGGAGCCAGGACGACGAGACCGTTGCCGTGGGCTGCTTGTTCGCGTCGGGGAATTGCCGAGCTCTTCGTCTTCATCATCGCCCGACTCGGCACACTCGTAGCGTTTGCGTTCTAGAGATTCTCTCTTGGCCCGGATTGCCTCACTAGACCGCTGTTTACGAGGTGTTAGAGGCTGATGCAGAGTCGCCGGCGCAGAAGTGGCGTGGAGCAGACTCGGGAAAGGCACCGCGTCCGAGGCAAATGTCGAACCGCCATCTGCCGGTTCTTGAGCTGGCGTCGCATCTTCGGAAATGCCGAGGCCACCTCTATCCGGTTCCGGCTCGTCGTTGTGATGGCTCACAATCACGGGGCCTTCTTCGGGTTTGATCGACTCCATATCGCCAAAGTAACTGCTGACAATAGAGTCCTCTCGACTAGATCCTCTGTACGAGCTGGAAGGCACAAGGGCGAAGCTGGACGATGTGGTTGAACTGGGACTATGCTCAACTTGCACAGGAGCCTGGCGTATCGTAGGCGGAACGGGGAATGGCTGAGAGGGATTATAGTCCTTAGGGGGAGGCTTCCACTGGCAAAATTTACAGAGTGCTTCTGTGAACTTTGTTAGAGTTGGAGGCTTTTCAATGAGAGCATCGAAGTGGTGGGTTTCGGGCAGATCTTTGAGATAGCCGGTGACCGCAATGATCGGGGTATGTCGGTTTGCACTGCGCGTTTCTCGCACCATACGCGCAACATCGGCCCCAGTTACCTGGGGTAGTTTGAACTCCGTCATGATTATGTCGAATTGAACTTCACTCAACGCGTAACGCATTGCCTCAGTACCATTGACCGCTGTAATAGTACGACACCGCAGTTTCTCGAAGAGACGTTCCATCACGATTCGAGAGACCGGGTGGTCCTCGCAGATTAGTACGTCCAGTGGCCGGAAAAAGGGACCTTCAGGGAAGTTGATCTGAGACAGACGCCTTGAGCTCTGACGGCGGCGTTGCACCTTAAGCAGGGCTTTAGTGCGTGGATCTTCATTGTCGGATGATGATGGAGAGATATCGAACAACTGGCTGCGACGCTTGTAATGACCTGCAACGTATGATTCCTTGGCTAAAGATGATGAGAGATCTCCATCCTGGGAACCGATGGTCTGTGACCTTGCTCGCGACGCAGGAGCACTGCCGTGGCGCGGTCCAGAAGGTGTTTTATCAGGACTGTGTGCTGTAGCCCGAGTGGGCTTTATTGGCGACGATGAAGCCGAGCCAAACTTAAGACTTGCCATCCGGCCCGTGTCGATACTTGTGGGCTGGGTGTTCCCTGTAGATTGTGAGTTGTTGGAAGACGACCCCGATGTTTTTCTGCGCTCGTGGTTTTGACCAGTGCTGAATTGAACGAGGAGCGGGGATGAAGGTTGCGAGGGACGACTGGGAGATGAATTCGCCTGGCTCATGCTGGACGGGGATGATGGGCGGTTGCTGCCTTTGGTCTGAGACAGAGTCCGTTGCAAGGACATCGGTAAGGGGCTTCCTTCCAGAGAGGGGGCAGGCTGAGAGGGAGCTGGATCCTGTCCTTGTGCGTGTCCTGGTTGCTGAGAGCCCGGAGGGACATGGCGTTGCTGCGCCTGCATTGCTTCCTGACGTAGTTTTTGGATCACATCCTTGTTGGCCTTCTCAAGCATGGGGAGATTCTTGAATGAAAAACTGCCAAAATCATCGGCCATCGCCGGTTCGCTCAGCCTCCTGCTACGTGACTCCCGGACATGGGGTGGGATGTGCAGGGGCATCAGTGGCCGCTTCATTGAATTCACTTGAGAGCGAACTTTGAACAAAGCATCATGGGGACGATCTTGGGGGTACGCCCCGACAGTCAACGGTTGCGGAGGAGGGCTTGCATCTTCAAGCTCTTCGGTAAAGGCTTGCAGGGTGGCGCCACGAGCGTCAAAATACTCGGTATCTTCCGGATTCTCAATATTTGGCACAAACTGGGCCTTGTCTTCCAGCAAGGTATCCCAGTTCACATCCGAAAACCAAGGGTGGCTGCGAATTTCTGCCCCGCCATTAGGATATCTCTCATCAACATTGGCACCGATCCGTTCGCGCGGGTGCATAGCCATGAGCTTGTTCATGAGATCAATGGCTTCAGGTGAAGCCAGTTCTTCGGGCTCATCCGGCCAGTTGATTCGTCGGTGGAGTATATTATCAAAAACCTCGTCTGGGGTTGCCGCATTGAAAGGTGGGTAGCCAAAGAGGAATTCAAACATGATGCAGCCCAGTGACCACCAGTCACTCATCTCATCCTGACCCACACCGTTGATAGTTTCCGGGGCCAGATAGTCCGGAGTGCCAACAAAGCGCCGGTTATGGTCGTCGGGATCGAACAGTGCCATTAGAGGTGGCATCATGGACTGCTGAGGTGGAGTACTGTATGAGAAGGAGTTGCTCAAGGTTGGCTGGAGCGGGTACAGATGAGGAGACTCGCCTGCCTCACTTTGGCTCTCTTCTTCAGGCAGATGATGGCCCGAGGAAGGGACGGGCACAGGCATCGTGCCCGAAGCTTCACCACCCTCATGGAGACCAAGAGTGCGAAACATGGCATTTAGACTCTCACTAGCCCCGCTATCGCTACGGTAGCCAGATGCTCGACGTGAAGTCTGCCGACTGAGTCCGCTCTGGTTGAGATTGAAGTAGGAAGGCTGGGGGATGCTGCCAGCAACGTCGGGTGTAATCAATGGGGTGGACCCCGGTGACCCACTGCCTTGGAAATCGAAAGATGCCGACCTTGACGATGCGATGGACGTTGCTCGAGGAAAGGACCCTTGTTTGAGAAGGTCGGGTGCTGGTTCGTTCATACTCTTCAAGACGCGCTTTTGGCGTCCGACTAGGCCCATTCGAGACAAACCGAAATCGGTCAGTTTGAGATGACCGGTCTGGTCTATAAGCAAGTTGTCTGGCTTGAGGTCACGATGGACGATACCCCTGCCATGGAGATGTTCCACCCCGAGGACTACTTCCGCGATGTACTTCTTAGCCCAGTCCTCGGGCAAGCCACCCAGAATCTTGACGAGCGAAGCGCAGTCTCCGCCGTTAAGATATTCCATTACCAGATAAAGGTAGTCCTTACTGGAGAAGGTCCAGTAGAGCTTAGCAACAAAATCGCTTTCCCCCTGCCACATCATGATTGCACGCTCCGCCTTGACATTGGTAACCTGATTCTTTGCGACCATATCCGCCTTCTTCAACACCTTGATCGCAAAGTACTCGCTGGTCACCTTTTTCTTTGCCAAGTAAACACTCCCAAAAGCACCTTTACTGATGGGCTTGATGATCTCAAAATCCTTGATCGATGGCGGCGCTGGTCTCGGCTGTGGCTGGCTGGCGGAGGAAAGATGGGGTGAAACGGGCGGCTTGACGAGATCTGAAGACGTCGCAGACGATTGACGCCGATGATGGGGATAGTGAAGTTGTGCCAGTTCGATCGCATTGGATGAGGGAGAAACTATGGGGGAGGGTAAGCTATCAGCGCCGCTCGAAAGGCGAGCCCGAGGCATTCGTAACGGAGAATGAGGGCCCGATATCCTAGCCGGAGAGTGTTGACGTCGAGGTGAGCTAGAGAGCCCAGGAAGCACCAGACTCCTGCGTTTTCTGTCTAGACTGCGATCTGATGAGGGCGAGTCGGTTCGCACAGCGCCAGGGAAAGCAGAAGAAGGAGCGCTGCTATCACTGTTGTCGCCCGCATCAAAATCGAGCATGGAGATGCCACGCCTGGAAGGCTGTGACGTTCCTAGCACCCCAGCAATACTTTTGTGTGAACGAGGTGTAGGGCACTCCATAGGACTGTTCGATCCAGTGGACACGGCTACTGAGGACTTGCCCTCGGAGGAGTGATTTGAATGGAATCGATCGGGCGAATTGCGCATGGACATGGTGAGGGCGGACATTGGAGGCGGAGGCACCGATTCTCGCTTCCCATGTATTATCGGACTATTCGCTACCACAGGGGGCTCGGGTTCTGGGAGAGCATCATCGTCCGATGCGGTAGAATCGCTGAGTTGGCCGGCCGCAATCCGCTCGGCCTTGCTGAGAGCTGCGGTGATACACTCCTCCACCAGAATCGTGTATTCAATGCGAATCCGCTCCGCATACTCCACGATTCTTCTATGGCGGATAACCGCATCGACTTTTGCCTTGGCAACTTGTTCGGTGTCTGTACACAAGGCCGCGATACCTTGCTCCTGCTCCAGGGTATTAGAACTGGGCGACTGCCACTGGATGACCTGAGAGATACGCGATTCCGACTGTGGTGACAAAGTCCGGAAATCATCTCCACTTTCCGCACGGGTCTCTCTGATCACAGGCATGTTGATTTCGGAGGCAGTGTCGCAGAGATCGAGGATCAACTCAACAACACGAGCCAACGGACGCCGCACTGCGAAAGATCGGGCGCGAGCATGCCCGATGCCCGAAGCCGAATGGTCTCTCGATCTAGGCGGCGTGCCGGGGGCCGAATTAGAGCTGGATACGGATCCGGACGATGGTGCCGAGGCGGCTGGAGATGGTCCAATGGGTAGTCCTTTGTACTCCGGTTGGGGAGATGGGGGAGGGTTGGTATCCCCGAGAACTAAGGGCCTGCTCTGCCTGGCCTCAAGAGCATCCAGCACCTTGACGATCGCGTGACGGTGCTCATTGAGGTTTTCCTGAGCTATCTGCACGTCCATTTCGGCCCGATGTTCCTGGAGACAGAGGTCCGAATGTTTCTCGAACCACCAAGGCGTGATCTGCCGTTCACAGATACGACACAGCACCGGGTTCGGGGCTGGATGTTTCGAAGGATCGGGTTCACTAGCAGCAGCTTCCGCCAAAGTTGTCAAGTAGTTTGCTAACACTTCCGCTCCGACGCCCAAGGATTCTACCAGCAAGGGAGGGAGGTCAATGGTGACTTCGCGGGGTTCGGTAAACGGTCGCAACATCCACATGGTCTATAGTTCGAAAGCGTGAGTTATTATGCGGTGAAATGAGTCTAGATGCCTGTGGTGACTTACATGTCCAACGCCATCGGCAGTACGGTCAAAGACCATTATCCCTTGTCCTTCCAGATGTAGGATGTCATGATGTCGGTTCTCCTTCTCCTTTTCTGGCAAGTCTTCCTGATGTTTCGCAACCTCGGCCGTCCCAGTAGTTTCCGCCTCTGTCTCCGCAGCAGGTCGTGGCTCTGGTGAGTACTTCAGGACCGACTCGGGGCCCATCTGGACAGCAAAGCGAATGAACCGACTGCGGGAGTCATCCTCCTTCATACTCTCTATCGCATCGTGAAAGACGTTTTTGTTACCAACCACGATCTCCGATATCATCTGCCCCTCTATTGACTCCGGTGATGTCCCCACGACCTGTTTCCATGACGGACTGACCCATTTGACGCGGCCATCGAGGTCAAGATCGACAATGACGTTCAAGGTCTGCTCCGCCGCCTCTTTCAGATCTTCGCGCTCTTCTCGGATGTTATCGACGCTGGAGGAGCGAGAAGGAGAGAATCTTGGATCGACACTCCGGGCTTCCTGCCGCAAGGCAGTCACGGCCGGCGGAGCAAGGTACTGAATATCGTCTGTGCCATTGCCCGCCATGCTGAACAGGCAACGCCGACAGGAATTACCCAAAACTGCCTGGGGGTGAGAGGGGTCGAATGGCTGATAGGCGCAGCACGTAAAATCAGGCGAGAGGTAGTGTAAACGGTGAGCAGCTCCAAGCAGGACCGTCTGCCAGGCAGAGCGGGTGCCCTTTGATTGTAGGTTATGAATTCATCCGCAGCATTAATTGGCCATGACTGGATAGCGGGGACGTAGACGGATGAGAGTAAACGACCCTATCGCAACAAGCAGACGGGGAGGTGTACTTTTCTGGGGGCACCTGAGAGAGTCTGGAATACTTCTTTCCCTGATACAGAAAGAAAGAAACGAGGAAAATCTCGTGATCACGTAAGGACAGAGAAGGAAGCGAAACGAAGAGGGAAAAGCGGCTATGCGGGGGAATGGCGCGACGGAGCGTCAACGCGAAGCCAGGGTGATTGACCGAGTCAACCCCCCGAACGAGGTCGACTAAAGGTAGCGAATAGCGCGGGTGGGGGGAGCCAGGCAAATGTGGGAAACAGAGGAAAGCGACATAGAATGAACACAGAGAGCCAGCCAAGAGGAGGTGATCGGAGGACGAACAGGAATTAAGGGAAGGGTTAGAAAAAAAAAAAGAATAGAATAAAAGCAAAAGGCACAGAGAGACAGCGGGTTCCGATCAGTGGGAGGAATGGAAGAAGTAAAGTGAGAGAGTAAGTGAGTGTATGAAGGGAGAACGTGAGTACGGAAAGGTTACCTGTCCGGTACCCAAGGTCCCGAGGACAAGCCCCCGAAGGTTGCAGCCAGGCCCGTGCAGTGGTGTATGGTATGGTAACCGGGGCGGGAAAAGCAGCAGCGGATATCATGACCAAACAATTGATGGATTATTGGATTGACTTTCAAGACGCCTCAGCCTTCGGTTGAATGGACACCAAGTTGGAGTCTGAACTACGGGGTTTAGGTTTCCCGCCTGAAACCATCGCAGCTTGAGGGGGCTGGCTAGGTAATTTTGACCTCGAGCGAAGGTCGTTGGAGCCGTCCCAACCGGTGGAGAGCGAGCATCAGAGCATGATTTGCGTCGACTGTACCATCCTCTGTTGAACTTGTACTATGTAGGACACTGCTTTTTCCCTATCAACGACCGAATCCCGATCCACTCCCGATTATCGAGAATACCATGGATCTCCTCTCTTCTCCTCTCCTCTTCCTCTCTCCTCTCTGACACCCCGGTTTATCTCCTACACAGGACTTGCACTCCCGTACGGATTTCTTACCGCCAGCCAGGAGGGAGTGGCTCCATCTGCAAAGGTGCATTAGGTTACGGATAACAGTCCACTAGACCTCTCAGAGGAGCCGCGGTGGATGCCCGGACGCACCCGTGGTATAGGCATCTAGCCACTAGCTACATCACCCTAACTGTACCTAGCTGTACAGTTATCTAGGCGCTGCCATTATCTGGTCTATTCTCAGTATTCTGAGTCGCCTGGCTTCTCCAGCCACGGACAGACAGTACGGAGTAAGTTAATCCTGGTCCGAGGCGAACTGCCGACACGGCTTGTTCGTCCGGACGGTCTCGTCTCATTTGTTGTGGCCTGACGATTATCGGTCGCCATCAACATCATCGCCGTCATCGTCGCCCAGGAACCAGCACCCCCTCTCCAGCCATCAACAACGCAGCATGCCGCCTCGTACTTCCCATGGGTCAGATTGCGCGATTGCCTTTTTTGGGGGGAGAGTCTCGATTTCTCTGGAGAGGTCACTCCGAACCACACACGACAGCATCCGCAGCCACGAAGCGCCACTCCAGACCCGGTCTCAACGGTCGGGCCATTTCCATTTGGCGGTTACTTCGATAGATTGTGTTCTCGAAGTCCCGTGCAACCTACACATTTTTCCCCCTGCCCTCAGCCGTCGCCATCTAGAAGACCCTGTAGACTGAACTGATGATGCCAACAAGTGAGGTGAGTGACTGCGACCGACGGCGTACGTGTGTTTCCTGGCTGCAGCGTCCCATTGCGCCAATAATCCAGGCCTACTCAGCGGGGGGGGGGGAACCACCAGAACGTCACCGCCCGGCCAACTGCCTATCGAGTATCGACAGAGTGAGTCTCTTGCTGGCCCGGCTCGACCATGGATCAAGCTCCCCCAGACCCAGCGGATCTGCTGCTCACTTGACTCTCCCTTTGCCCCATGCGATACATCATACAATCCGGGACAGGGACGTGAGAATCCGGGATTCATCTTCGGAAGGCAGCCCCCTCATCCTGGCTGGGGGACCGCTGGTAAGCGAGCAGCTCGTCTGCAGTCTGCAGTTACACGCAGCTCGGGATGCGGTCGGCCATTGGCCCGCGACCGATCATAGTCTCAGCCCTGGATTCCGAGCCCTCGATCGACTCAGCGACGGAATTCAATCTCTATTAGCCCCGGTTACCAGTCCGCGGGGGACAAAATGCATTCATCGGCATTCCTCCATCCATCCTGGGGACGAGATGCTCGCCCACGTCACTCTGATATGGCCCGAAAATGGTAACCTGGTTCGTCATCACCAGCACTTCTTCCACGTACCCCCCGATGACACCAATCAGTATATGATAGCTGAGGTGGATGGTTCTGCGGGGTAAACAAGGTGGGGAGACTCCCAAGCTGATTGCCTGCATGGGAGATGAAAAATGACCGCAAACAACCCATCTTTTCTTTTTCAGTGCACCTGTCTGTCTTTCCCTTGCTGCCAGCCCACATACTACCTATCAGACCCGCAACAATCAGTCCGCGGCCCGTTGTTCGGTTCTGTTTGATGGTTGGACGAGAGTCTCATGATGATGACAATGATGGGCTGTTTGTGGAGCCCATTTCGCCATTCCTCAATTCCGAGGATGGACCCTGTGGGCTTCAGCCCCTGGACATCACCATACGCCAATGGCAGCCGTGTCCCTCGTATCCTTCTCGATCATTCCATCGACCTCATCCAAACAACCGAATCCCATGGGTCGTATTCTCCCAGACACCTCAACGTGAGGATCATCATCTGCAGGTGGCGTAGGCACGTCCTATGTACAGTGTATGGAGTTCCTGCACTGCATCTCCAACATCCGAGACTGCATTCCACCGTCAATCCTTACCTAAGAGGCCAAGGAGAATGAAAGCGAACAATGATCGTCCAAGTGGAGACCTAATACAAAGCAGACCATACATCACCCCTCATCAACCAACAAACCAAATTCAACCGCAAGCAATCTCTAGCCCTAATATCAGCAACAGAAGCAGCAGCAGCGACAACACAAAGAGAAGCCAACCAAAGTAACAAAAGTACCACCGATAACCGACATGTCCTTCCCCGCACCAAGCCTGCATCCGCATTGGCCGATCCCCAAAAAAGCACAAGATCATCTGACAGAGGACACAAACCTACTACTTACCTAGGTCCGACACAGCAGTAACTCCAGTAACTAACCTTCCATCCCTCCAACTCTCCATCCACATCCAGACTTCCTCCTCCATCGATACATACACAGCTAGATACCTAACATACCACCACCACCAACTACCACCCAAAGTATCTTTCTTGTATGTAGAAACCCAAGACCAAGAAAAATAACCTTCCGCCACCTCCGCCCAAACCCAAACAATTCTCCCAAAATGTAACTACACACACGCCTACTTCCATAAACACACAAATACACACATACATACATACATCCATTCCCTACTCCGTACTCTATACTCTGTACTCCATAAGGTAGTAATTACCCAAAAAAGCAGGACACGACTGGCACATTCCATCCATTCCCTCTACCTACTTACATAACCATAACCTTAAAAAAAAACAAAAAAAAGAAACCTCGAAAGCAGAAGCTTAAACAGATAAGGCACACCATTCCAATCCCATCCCCATCCACGGAATCAACACACCTGGAACATCATCGACCACATTCATCATGGCATCTTGGACAACGGGGAGAAGTGAAAAATGAATCTTATATAGAGTGTGGTGTGTGTGATGGATGTGGGGGAATGCCCGGAGCAGGTTTTTTCTTGGTTTGGTTCTGGGTAGGTTAAGTTGTAGGTGTAGGTAGGTTATGGGGTTGTGTCTAGACCGCACGGGATGGATTGTAGACTATCTCTATCGATCTACCTATCTATCTGTCTGTCTGTGTGTTTGTCTACCACAGATCCATAGATACGATAAGTAAAATAAAAGTACTTTGGATAGATATACCTGATTATTCAAGGTAAATTGAATCAAATCAAGTTAAATTACTGGGATATAGTACTACAGCATGTAGATGGCTTACCAACTCTGTGTAAATATACAGTATGTTGATGGGAAAGGGTCTGGCTAGCCGGCTGGCTAGGTATATGTGCGTTATGTATGGCACATACACACATACTAGTCCAGTTACCATGGCAGCCACCACCACTTTCCTCCGTCACACATAGGTACTCTAAGTATTCCATACCTAGGAATCTCTGTCTCGGGTAGATACATAACGTAAACCACAAGCGAGCCGCGAATCTAAGCGAGCCGCGAATTTTTAACCAAAATTCCACCCTCTTTATTCAACGCGTCATATCTTCAACACTACATACAATATGCCTTCTTCTAAAGAATCACGTATCCAGATGGCTATTTCAGCTTATCAGAAGGGTCAAATTAAATCGGTATTACGCGCTGCGCAGGTTTTTGCGATCCCTGAAAGTACTCTACGCGATCGACTCAACAGTGTAACACCACGATCAGAAATACGCGCCAATAATCATAAACTTACTCAATTTGAAGAAGAAACGCTTGTTAAGCGATTATTAGATGCAGATATGCAAGGATTTCCAATGCGGCCCGAATTTCTACGCGAAATAGCAGGAATACTACTTTGTGCGCGTCTCCGAAATTATACAGCAATTATTAGATCTAACTGGCCATATAATTTCACTAAACATCATCCTTAACTACGTACATGATACAATAGACGGATTACATATTAACATGTAAAATAAGAGGATCCAAAGATTATAATACCATGGTTTCAAACTGTTCAGAAGACTATTCAAGAACACGGTATACACGAAGATGATATCTAGAATTTTGACGAAACTGGCTTTGCAATGGGGCTCTGCTCAGCTGCTAAAGTTATTACTGCAGTAGAACACAGTGAGCGACCATGCAAAGTCATTCAGGGTAATTATGAATGGGTTATAATTATTGAAACAGTCAGTTCAAAAGGCGTGCATATACCACCAGTTATTATACTTAAAGCAGGCAATCAACAAGCTGCCTGGTTTCAAGAACCTAAGCTTGCTAGAGACTGGTGGATTGCAACAAGTCAAAATGGCTGGACTACCGATGAAATAGGTCTTCTTTGGCTAAAGAATGTCTTTGAATTCTTCTCTAAGCGCTATATGACCGGTGCAAAACGCCTACTTATTCTGGACGGCCATAGTAGTCATTTGACTGCTGAATTCGATGATCTTTGTAAACAGAATATAATAATATGTCTTTATATGCCTGCCCACGCTTCGCACCTTCTTCAACTGCTTGATATGGGTGTTTTTAGCCCGCTTAAAAAGGCGTACGGGAAGCTTCTTAAAGGGTGTATGATTACAGGTAATAATCATATTAATAAAGAAGACTTTTTATCGTTATATCCAGATGCATGGGCTCAAGTCTTTACTTCTATAAATATCTGCAGTGGCTTTGCAGGAGCAGGGCTTAAGTTATTTAATCAAGAGCGTGTTCTTTCTAAGCTTACCTTTCAACTACGTACGCCTACACCTGCACCATCACTAGTTGAAGGGTCAATTTTGTCTGCTTTCCAGACTCCATAAAATACTCGCCAGCTAGATCGAAAAGTACGCAGCCTGCAGAGTAGTCTTAATACTAAATGAAAGCTTTTTAACAGTCTAGTTGCTCATATTCAACATCTTGAGAAAGCTGCTCAAATGGCTATGCAAACAAATCTTCTTTTACAGCAAGAAATCAAGATTTTACGGGCTGGAAATGAGCGAAAATATAAAAAGAAAGCAAGAAGGCGTGCTCTACTAGGAGATGATACCCTTTTATCTGTACAGGAAGGCCAAAATCGCGTTCAGCAGCTAAATACGCAGCTTATTGAACAACCTGAACAATTTACTCCTATACCTCGTCGACGGGCTCCGCAACGCTGCAGTGGCTGTGGAACAGTTGGACATACAATTCGGAACTGCTCTAGTAAATAGCTACTTTTTCATATGTTTATTTAATCAAATTCCATGGAGTTGGTGGTTGAAAAGCTTTAAGTAATGGTGGCTATAGCAAAGGATCCGCGGCTCGCTTAGATTCGCGGCTCGCTTGTGGTTTACGTTACATACATCCCTTCACTTATCTAATGCCCCAAACATCCTACATATGATGTACATAGTACATCTAACCTACATATGTATGTTTGATTGCCATCCAGCCCCCTACATCATACTCCCATCATACATACATACATACATACATACGTAGTAGATGAATGAGTAGTACCTACCTAGATGAATATTGGATAAGGGGTAGAATCTGTTATTGTTGCACGAGGGATGGATCCTTGCAGGAGGCGCGGCATCGGGAATGGGGTAGATAGGTATGATGTCGATATGATGGTAGTGATCGATTTAGGTTTGCTTTTGATTGCTTATCCGCTCGGTCGCTCATCCTCGAGACGAGGGATAGGTAGATATGATGGTGTTCCCTAATGCATCGTACCATTGTCTATCTACCAGTAGGGCAGGTCCCAGTGCGGGGATCGGTTTATGACAGCCGGTCTTGGAGCACTGTTTCATCATCGCTTGGTTGCGATGCGCATGGCTGGTCCAATGATAGGGGCTGATACTGGGCTGTCATATGAAAGGTCTAGTTTGAGTTTAGGCGATGCAGGTATTTGTCTTATCAGTTGAATCATAATAATATTAGCGTGAAAGAAGGTTTATCCCGCTCAGAATCGAAGACCGTCTGACAGCAAGCCAGAGCCACACCGTACATAGGAAGTCCAGGAAAAATGCTAGGGAGTTTCCCTAATAATAGTGGTAATGATAAACCATGCCAGGCTCAGCCAATCACAGCATTCAGGCCCACGAGATGATATTGGATGCGATCTTCTCTGCAAGCATATCTAGGATTGTTAGTATGATAAGATGACTGTGAATCACACACAACTTACAGGCTACCGATTGGGGATGTCCAGGAGGCAGAAATGGAAATGCACTGGCATCGACCACCCTCAACCCTTCCACTCCGAACACTCGGGCCTGGCTGTCCACGACGGCCATAGTGTCATTGCGGACGCCCATCTTGCACGTACAGGAGGCATGGTAGACTGTCATAACTGTGTTCCGGACCACATCTAAGATCTCCTCATCAGACTGCACCTGTTCTCCGGGGAAGTATTCTTCTCCAACGATGATCGGGGCCATGCCCTCGCTCTTAAACGCTTCGCGGATTCTTCGATATACCGCAATAGCTACCTCTTGATCCGTCTTTGTAGCAAGCCAGTTGGGGTTGATTATCGGCAAATCGTCTGTATCGTCGGAGACGATGGTGACATTCCCCCGCGATGTCGGTGCGATCAATGCTCCGATAATTGCCGCATACTGGGAACCATCTTGCGGTTGTTGTTTAACAGGTTCGGAAAAGTCTCCGATATAGAGAGGTGTTGGGAGATACTAGTGTTGACAACGTGTTAGTAACGTCCGACAATTAAATTGAGGTGGGTATACCTCGACTTCGGGCCAGCCAGAAGGGAACCATGATAGATCCTCGACTGTTTCATCGGAGAACTGGGACCGCACCCCGCTGGGGAGTTTTTCGAAGGCCAAGAAATCCGTCCCCTGATTTGTCAATGGACCCCCTTGATAGGCTATGTACTGGACAATGACCTGGGCCAGGTATAGAAGGTCGTTGACGACCCTGGTGCTGGTTTGGAGCCCAACTCGGTACGAGGGCCCGAAAAACACATGATCCCACATATTCTGGCCTACCCCTGGAAGGTCCACGATAACCTCAATGCCGTGCTCTTTCAGAGCATTGGCCGGACCGATTCCGGATACCATCAAAAGCTGAGGACTCTGGAAGGCACCCGCAGAAACAATAACCTCTCGTGTGGCCCTCAATATATAATCCGAGTCTCGCGTCCTGACTACTACCCCTACTGCTCGCCTTTCCGGGCTGAACATAATCCTTTTCGCCATTGTGTTCTTGTATAGTGCGAGCGTTGCTAGACGTGGTATTGGTGTACTTTTGAAAGCAGCTTCAGAGCTACTTCGGATCTTCTTGTAGGGATCAATGGTCAGAGTACAATACTGAGCACCCATCAATGACCCGCTATTGAAGTCCTGGGCCGCTGGAATGCCTATAGACTCCATCCCACGTTGTACCCAGCTCGAAAATGAGACGGGATTGTCGGGATAGGACACATGCAGAGGCTCGCCACGTTCATCGAACGCACCCGTATTAAATGAAGCCGAGGCATTGCTTTCACGAGCATTGTTGTTGGGCGGAGTGAAGTTAGCCGTTCGTTGGAAGAACGGAAGGACTCGTCTGAAGGTGTAGCTATCGTCTTCGACGAGTTCGGCCCACTTCTGCATAGCCTCTTTGTTTGGCCTAAATCCAGACCTTGTTAGCTTTCTTCTCCAGGAAGCCAGCCGCATAACCTCGAACCTTTGGTAAATCATCATGTTGGAGGCTGTCCTAAAACGAGTCTAGCTATTAGCTCTGAAAGCATTGAGAAGTTGATACAGAAACTGGGGGCGCTCATACGATCCTCCCAGACATTTGCCTCTGGGGTAATGGATGTCGCGATAGTTCGCTCCAGGAACGCCATAGGCAACAAACCCCCAATCAATGGGAGTGGTACTGTTGACACTGGACCCTATTCCAACTATGGCAGCTCCGGGTATCTTTGCTAGTGGGTATCTGAGCTCGTAAAAGTCGCCTGCTTCAACCAGAGCGACACTGAACTTCTGTTCGGCCAGGCGAGCGGCCAGAGTCAAGCCCGATGCTCCGGCGCCAACCACAACATAGTCGAAGGAAGCGTTGACCCCCAATATACCTTGTCGAGCGCCATCCAGATCATCTGGCAGAGCCCCAGACGTCCTAGTAGCGAAGGCCAAGAGGGCGAATATGCAAAACCTCAGAGAAAACATCTGAGCAAGGCAGGAATAACGAGAAGATATATTCAGTGTAGGAAAGAGCCTTTCAGTGACCCGAGGCATGTCCGAATGTTAGAGCTGGCACGGCCACAGACTGAGATCCATGAGTAAAGATACAGAGTAAGTGGTTCTTAGGGGAATAGTCAGGGTGAGGACTGGTGTGGAACCCCCCATAGCACCTGGAGTTGTCTCACAGCAGGGGAGCTATTTCCCTGCCAAACGAGGAAAGAAGATACGATGGACAGGTCCAGGTGGTGCACATGCAGTGCCAGACACGAACAATGAACCTTCTCAACCAGCACACATACTGTTAGCTGTCTCGGCATCATGTCCGTTGGCAAGGAGTTCACAGCAGCCCCGCCTACAAAGGCATCGACCATTTGTGAATGTTGATAGCCTTAGGAAGCCACAGTGAATGCACAGTGTTAAGCGGCGGGGTCTCCCATCAAAGGCACCATCCTTCTTTCCCAGCTTCGTTCATATATCACCAAAACGTGTCAGACCTCTGCCCCAGCTACCTACTGGCATTGTTGCATCCTGCAGATTGCTTGTACCCACCGCCACTATCCATCATGCCCCAAGGAACATCCATGTCGGCATCCAGACCATGCTTTAGCGACTTCCCTAACTTCAAGCAACTCCCCGATCTCCCAATCAGCGTCGAGTTCTATCGACTTGCATCCCAGCAACGTTGGAAGAAAGGCTCGAAGACCTGGTGCAAGGTGTGGAACCGCTGCATAAACATGGAGTACGACAGAGTCATAGGAAAACATTTGACAGGGTTGGACGATTGGCGCCGACTGTGCGAAGAGCTGGATTTACCAGGTCCTTTCCCTTCCATTCGGCAGTGTAAAAAGGTATGGTCCGGGACAGCCAATAACAGCCTATCGGAATGCTTTGAATGGGAACTGACAAATCCAGGCTTTGTCGAAGGTCTATGTTAACATTGTGGATGTCCTCGAATGTCGACAGCTGCATCGGAAACCAAGAAAGTTCCATACCCTCGACGCGCTGATTGCGTATACCCGGAATTCGGGCAAATTTTTCGGCAGAGCTCAAGCTAAGCAGGACCAATTGCTCAGAACTCTGTTGAGAAAGTTGTTGTGAGTCTCATCACGGGCTGGAGCCAAAAAGACCGAAGTGGATGGAGAATGCCGGATCCCGTCTCAGAGCAAATCGGAGGATTATGAAACATCACGACTTTTTTTTGATACATCGCGGATGGAAAGAGGCGATACTGGCCCGTGCTCAGCTCAAGCGCGTTCGGTTTTAAATTCATTGGGGTGTCAGCAGGGTGTGACAATGTGTTCGTGGATCAATGAGTGTGAATAGGAATAGGGCGCAATTGGACGTTAAACACACGAGAAATTACTTATACTACATTAAGATATACACCCGTATCGAGATCCACTCAGAAATTACAGGGCCTTCTTTTCACCCGCCAGCCGCTCCTGTTCCACGACATATCCGACTGCACGAGCGAGACCCTCGTCCACTGGTACAACAGGTCTGTATCCAAGCCGGAATTTGGCCTTGTCGCATGAGTAGTAGCGAGTCATGCAAGAGTAGCGAACCGTTCTCCTAGTTAAACGAGGTGTCTTGCCGAGAAGCCCCAACACCGTCTCTGCGACACCGCCAATAGGCCCCAGAACGGACTCGGGAAGCTCCCACACCTGCTCAGGCTCCACGACCTTGCCAGTCAGCGCCCAGGCAGCACGTGTCATGTCCCAGAAATAGACCGGAGAGTCGTTCGTGACGTTGAACGCTTCACCGTCAACACGCTCGTGGTCCAGCGGCGCGCCCTGTCCAGATTCATACCGGGAATGGGTGAAAAGCAAGCGGTATGCGGCCAGAGTATGAGCATAGGCGATGTTTCCAACGTAGGTGAAATCAAACAAGTTGTTGTTCTCGCCGAGCTGCATCCGGAGGACGGTCGGAGAAGCCTTGGCCGAATGTTCAAGAACCTTGAAAGTAAACGTCGTATCTTTCTCACCATAAATACCGGCGGGACGGAGAGCACAGGTCACCATCGAGGAGGGGGAGGCACGGTTGTACTTCAAGACGATTTCTTCGGCATCGGCCTAGAATGATTTCTGATTAGCATTCATCATTCGGGGATTGGGCGCATAACCTGCCTTGGTTTCCGAATAATACTCCTGCTGCAACGCCCCCCGGATAAGCGGCCATTCCTCGTTCACGTTGATAAGGTCACTTTGCGTATCGTGCACGACGGAGCTCGAGCTCGTGTACACAAAGGCCTTGCACTTTCCACCCCAGTCTCCACGGGCGCCGCCCGCAACCTCTACCAGAGTTCTAGTTCCATCAACATTAACCTTGCGCAGCAATGGCTTGTTTCCCTCCAAAACATTCGGTGTGGCGGTGTGGATGACGATGTCGGGCTTGACCGCGCGGAAAACGGCCAACATGGACTCTGCGGACGTGATATCGCCGTCATGATACTCAGCACCAGGCAGCCGGTTGTGGGTCGTTCGCAGGTCGACGACCGCAACTTTCGCTATGCATCGGGGGTACCGATCGCCTAGTTTGGGGTAGTCGAACTTCGCGTCTCCCTGGGGCTTAGGAAGAGCGGCACTGGGATCGGTCTCCGAGGGGAAATTGAGCAATTGATCAACAATGTGCCAACCCAAGAACCCGCAGCCACCAACCACCAGGACAGTGCCCAGTTCCATTGTAGGACGTTTGGTCGACATTGTGATAGCAGTAGTTTCTTAAACGGACAACTGCCTGTGGGAGGTGATGGGGGAATTGAAGGTAGATAGACGCAAGGAAATGAATGCGAGTCGGGGGGGAATGACAATGGTTTCCGCCTCCAGAATCTCCGGCTTAAAGCTCGGACCCCCGCAAGAGGCCACACGTGAAGTTTCCACCAACCGACAACCAGATGGCCGTTTTAGCCCAGTTTTTACGTACTTATCAGTTATCAGGTCCAACGCCCCTTACGCCCCAGAAGGAATATCTCTCATGGGAAAGAGGGGTCTGGGGTAAGTCACTTGTGGGAATTGTATCTACTGCGGTTGTAACCAGATGTTCCAATATTATTTCTCCTCCCGAGACAATGCCGTGTCAATCTTTCTTGCCATGACTCCTGAACACCTATCAGCTGTGCAATGCAACACACCCCGTATAGTATTGGTCATACTAACACTGGAGGTCTCGAGCATGGTCAGTGAACATGCTAGATCAGCCCTCTACCAACGATATCTGCGAGTCCGCTGTGTCGGCCCTCCTACATAGCCAAACTCACTATGCATCCCTAATCACCTGGATTAATACAGCTGCCAAGAAAGACATGAGAAATGCAGGCTTACAGAGTCCTCTCTACTGCTCGTCGCAACTCCCGATTGTACTTCTTTCGGTCTTCTGGTGTACCCCAGAACAACTTGGTTGCCTCGGGATTCACAGTGGTCCGGGGATCGAAGGGCGGATGTTCCTCTTCCAGCGACGCAATGATTCCTTCGACGTGATAACGCATGTCATCGGTCCGCTTAGGGATATAGCAAAGGACTTGTTCTTTGGACACGCGGATATGGTAAAAGGGAGTCTCCATGAAAACGCGAGGTTGTTCTTCAGGAAAACGGGGGCTTAGATATATCAAGACGTTGAACATACCACCGTCCAAATGTGTCATGGGCCGCCCGAAATATGTGAGCTTCCACTTGAATGGGTTTTCGCCCAGAAGGTGTAGATTAACCGTGATGTTTTTCTGGCGCTTGAGACTTTCAACAATTTGCTCGTACTGACGCTGCAGACTCGCTGCTATTCCACGCTCTTGCTCTTTGGCTATCAGCCCCTCCCCGGCCCAATTATGAGTTTCGTCGAGAATCATGTCCTTGATCACGACCATTCGCCGTCTCAGCTCGGTATAATCGAAGTGACCGTCCATGCCGTTGCCGTTTGCCTCAAAAGGCATCCTCTGGAATTTGGCTTTGCGGGAGTGTTCTGCCTCTGCAGCAGCGATAGATTGCATGTAGGGCTCGTAATACCACAGGAATCGTCTTTTGCGGAAGTCTACAAACGGTTCAAAGGAGGGCCTGTCTTCATAAAGAAGTTGGTCATCGCTTTCAGATGGTCTGCCGGCTAGTGAATCCATATCCCTCTCTGGCACAATATTCAATGATGACTCCAAGGGCTCAATAACCGCAAGGCGGAGGGTTTCATGGCGTATCTTGATGGTTACTTAGCAATATCCCTGCAAATATAGGGTCACTGAGCGTTTTAATACCTTAGCAACATAATTCTCCATGTTTTGTTTGTCACCCGGTGAATTTGAGTTTTCATATCCAGGTTCATTCTCATATGGATTGGACGACATCAGACTCTGGATTGAGATCAAAATGGACTCCAAGCACTGCGCAGAGGACCATTGCTCTCCAGGCTCACCACGCCAGGTTCTATAATAATCTGTCAGCCATGCTCACCCAGTAGGGATGTATATCGTGCTACCCAAGAATTGACCTAGATATTCCCGCGTGTTAGTGGAATTGATCAATATCTCAAAGACCGAACTCACAGGCAAATCCGGCCAGAAGCATAGATGTTCGGGTTGAATCGAGTTCGACCGCGATTAGTCGTCAAAGCACGAACAGTTGGAGGTTCCGTCGGGTACTCTGAAAGGCTTAGCATTCATGTAGATAGGTTATCGGGTTCTTTAACGGGGGCCAAATAGTGTACCTCTTCCAAACTTGATCAGGAACTAAGGTATTGTGCTCATCATCAACACATGGCCATGGAGGAGGGATCGCCCCTCATACAAATGGTAGAAACCAACCTCAAAAAAGCCGAACTGATAGGGAGTGTCCGGGGGCCCAAGAATGAGAGCGCGAACGTGCCGGACGTCAGAGTCCTCATAGGATACAGCGAGTGCTAATGCAAAGAAACCAGCGAGATCAAAAGTCAGCGTCAGCCAATGCTGTCTGCCATAAACGGGGATTCGACGGAACCGATCTCCGACTGTCAAGGAGTGGAGTACCCACAGAGGTCTGCGCCTTGCTGGATTTGTTTGATTTCCTATTACCCCGCCCAAGGAGAATCCGTTCGTCAGTCGCAGCGAAACTGGAAGGAATGCGGTGAGGGGTGGTACCCTGGTAATACGGAGGATCGCCTGATCGGACATTCTGACAATTGCGATAATACAACTGGAAGGGACAAGTTGATGACTAGGTTGGGCGTTGTAATATGAGATGTAATCAAGAAGGGAGAGGAGACGCGTTGATGACTATTGGGACTGTAACCTGGTCAATGGCGGGGAAGTGAGACGTCAAGAACTTCAATGTGAGATTCATGTGAGCCAATTCCCAACGGCCACACACAGGTACACAATGAGAACACTGAAGAGGCATAGACTTGCAAGACTTTCCTGCACCTCTGGCTGATGAGGAGACAAAGCAAAGCCTGCATGTGCAGCCGACTTAACACAGATGCATGTAAATAACAATACTCTACAGAGTATGCCACAACTCTACACGCAGAAGCTAGGTGCTGACAGTTGTAATTTATACATATCTTTAAAGGTCAATTCCGAATTCACTGTCTTGAGAAACATGTCACCTTACGCCTTGATGCCCATCCTAGCCGTTGCCACCTCGGCTCCTTTCCAGCGATTCGACAAACAACATCCGATCTGCTATGGCATCTGGTAAGGGGAAAGGGGAACAGAGGGCCTGGAAACCAAGCTGGAACTAATAAATGTCACAGCTCTTGGCACGATTAGCCCGTACGGTGATGAAAAAGGAGCAAACTGGCCACTGACAAAAAAGAGGTCTAACTCGGGCGCTCATTTGCAATGCATACTAGTAATTTCCATAGAACTAGGTATCTACTAGTAAGTATTGAAACTACTACTACGACCGGTAGCAACTCTTACTAGAAGCACCTGCCCGGACGAGATTGGTCAAGGGGGACGGGATTGATTCCAATCCATGGAAACAACCCCCTGTCTCACCGCCCGCGGAGGTGGAGACACGGATCCATCCTGGGTGATGATTGACTCTGATCACTCTGACTCAGGCCAAAAGGAACAAATGGGACAAATGGAGTCGCGACTGACCACTGACAGGACCCTGGGTCTAATGCCCGTTCGGGAAAGGTGTATGGGATGACTGGATCGGGTCAAACACAACCCATTTGTCTCAAACCATTCGAACAAGTCCTCGCTTCTCCCCTGATGAGTGATGACAAGCTTACCAGGTGCGAGTTCTTTGAAAAGCCGGCAGTCAGACCTTCGTCTGGATTGCAAGTTTGGCGCGTTACTTATGCCCTAAACCGTGTGTTGTGCAGATCTTTTGACACCCCTTACACGGCACCTGTTCATGGATCGACAGTGCTTGCAGTGATGGAGTAGTAGTCTCTGAAGATTTCAATGTTACCCCACGGAGTACTTATCCAGTCGAAGCATCAAGGCAGGTCGGATAAGGAACGGACATGATCCCGGCTGCCAACTAAATTCCCAGCCAGGAACTTCCATGTAAGCCCGGAACGGCGACACACCAACAGGATCGGGAATGCTTCAGGAATGCAAATCCTTCCACCAAATGGAACCCATGATATCAAGCTGCAGCCTGGCTGATGCATATCTTGGTACAATTAATAGTTATTAGATGCCCACCTTGTTTTTGTGTCACTCCTAATTTTTACAGCTCACTACTATGCGATGGTCTCAATTGCATTGGTGAAATCACCAAATCATGCATTCCAGAAAGCTGGTAATTAGTCCCAACAAGTATAGTAGTACTCTGTACTCTTCGTGGCTACTCAAAATCGAGAAGGGCCCGGCTGTTCGGCCAACGGCCAAACGTTGTTGATGGAGGAAGCCACAACTTGTGAGGCAAGACGCGGTGTGAGTGGGAGTAGGCGAAGAATCTCGAGGAATATCTGCATGAAATCGCAAACATGTGAGGAAATGAGCACGAAATGAAATATGCCGGCTTTTCTGGGATCAGTATGACTTGGTCGTTCAAGGCGTTGGTCGACAAATCATGATCTGGTATTGTAAAAAATTACGTAAATTACCCAGAGAATAGGAGGCACTGCTACTTCCCAGCTTGAGAGGAGAATAAGTCGAGAGCCATCACACAGTCGATTCTTGAAGCAGCGTGTAATAACCCGATGGGTAATCCATATTTGTTGCTTAGATAGAATCACAACGAGCGGGCTCGTCAGAAGAGCAAGGATTAGGCATCGGCATTGAGTATTACAGAACCATACACTTTAGGCTTTAGCGAAGCCGCTATGCCAGTAATCGAGACTATAGAGTGGGTTTCAGGCAGGCTGTGAAGAATAAGGGGGAGGGAAAGGATGCGGGGAATCGACCAAGGCCCAAAGAAAAATCCGCGTGGAGAAGGTGAAGTTCTAAAATAGCAGCGCGTGGTTGCAAAGCCGGCGAGGTCAGGAGGTATGTATGGAAAAGGTCCAGGGATGTCTTAGGGGTGGATTCAATGCTGTTCATCCTGGAGGGGGGAGCATGCACAGCATCCCATGCCTTCACCTGCCATCACTACCCACCATGGCAGTCGGCATGGTCCTGAGGTCTCCACATCCCCTAAAATTACAGGGTCCGTTTCTGCCAGCACATCAGATTGTACATGGTACCTGTCTCCCCTCTTCTTGCTGTGAACAAGAGGGTGGTGTCAGTGCAAACATGTGCCCGTCTGTTTGCATGAGGTGGCTGGAGAAGAGTCCAGAGAGTATAATATTTTCATTTACTACTCTTCTCTTCATTAGCAACAACACTGATCATGTTTCCTTAACTTGATCATGCTGAGATGACCCATGCAGTATTTTATACCGTGCTTGGGTATAGTTACCCTGTCTGGTAATACATCCACAAGTGAAAGAGCCATGGAAGCGCCTTCTTCAGGCGGTGTGAATGGCGGTGACCCCTTTCACGTGATGATCTCTAGCGGGCAACCAGCAACATGAAGCATAGGGGGGCAGAGTGACAACTGCCAGCAGCACACTCACTCTCCCCAAAACACGCGATTTCCTGTCCTAACTTTCAGTCCTTTGAGCTGGCACTATAAAGTCGACGTGACCTCGTCCTCCCCAGCTCTGCTTTGCCGGCTCGTATCCTCGACTTTGGATTCAGGCCGCCCACCAAAAGTCTCTCGCTGGAAGGGATTAGGAATGGTTGTGATTCCAGACAGCGCTCTCCGCCGCCTGTTGGTCTCACTTTGAGCTCCAACCCTTCCCCATTCCGCTTCGCTCGACGCGGGCGGTTGCGCTTTCGGAGAGATTAATCCCAGATTAGTCTACCAGTTTGCCTGTTGCTTTGAGCGATTTTACTGTTCCCCTCTGATCACGCGCCCCCGATTCCTGTCATCAATCTTCCCCGCAGGTTTCATCTACATGGCGTGAGGTGAGTTACCACGGAAAGGTCGCCAATTCTCCTAGACAACCCCGCGCAAAACACCACCGGGAAAGTTATCCACCAGGCTAACATCTTATGCCTCATAGAAGACGAGACTATCTGTCAGACGCGCGACATTGACGACTCGTACCCCGACGTTTCCAATTTCGCTTTAGCTTCTCCTTTCCCCTCCCCCGTCCTCGACAACTCGACTCTGTCTGACCTTGTTGGCGCCATTACTATCAACTGCCCTGATCGTATCTGCACAATTCACCCAACCAAGCTTTATCTCCTCAGATCTCCTTCCTAAAGGCGTAGTTCCTTACGGACATGCCTCCCGGCGACGTTCCTTTGCCGGACAGCCTCGTGCCGGGCAACGGGGCTGTCCGTCCGAAACTCAACACCAGCGGTTACGGCAGTGGAAGCTATTCATCACAAACACCTACCTCTCCTGCAGACAGCAATGTCGCTTTTGACTCGCCTCGTACAAGGACAGGAGGGTGGAATGGCTCTACGAACAGCCCTATCGATGGGCCCCAAGGCTCCGATGGTCGTGTGAGTCGCCGGCTGGAATCCGGCCATCCTGGACCGAGAGATCCGTCGACTCCACGGGATCGCAATGGTTATTGGGACCGGTCAACGCCACGGGAGAGGTCTCGTCCAAATGGTCGGCCGCCTACAAAATCCCCGGGAAGCTCATCGCGGATATGCAAAAAGTGCAGCGAACCACTTACCGGCCAGTTCGTTCGAGCTTTGCTCGCAACATACCATCTCGAATGTTTTAAGTGTGAGGTAGGTTGTCAGGCTTATAGATACATTCCTCTTGCTCTGACTAACTCCGCCGGGTATAGGACTGCGGTCAAATCGTGGCGTCAAAGTTCTTTCCTGTTGATGCCGAAGATGGAAGTGGCCAATATCCCCTATGTGAAACGGACTATTTCCGACGCCTAGATCTTTTATGCCACGAGTGTGGCGGCGCCTTGCGCGGATCGTATATCACGGCCTTGGAACGCAAGTATCACATAGAACATTTTACTTGCTCTGTTTGTCCAACGGTCTTTGGTGCGCAGGACTCTTACTACGAGCACGAAGGCAAAGTATATTGTCACTTCCACTACTCTACACAGTTTGCGCAACGATGCCATGGTTGCCACACAGCAATTTTAAAACAGTTTGTGGAGATTTTCCGCAATGGGCAGAATCAACATTGGCACCCGGAATGCTACATGATCCACAAGTTTTGGAACGTTCGTCTGGCTCCGACAGGCCAGCCACTTGAACCACCCGAGGCCGAGGCCGATGCTACCGACGAGGAGCGTAATAGAGTGCGTGAGGAGGAGGACATAATGGAGGAGAAGGTGTACAAAATCTGGAGCATTCTATCCAGTTTTGAGGAATCGTCCGCAGCTTGCATCTCAGACATGCTCCTTCATGTTAGCAACGGAACCTATATGGATGGAGTCCTCGTCGCAAAGAGGTTTATCGGACACGTTGATGTTCTCTTCTCTGCCATCGATCAGCTTGCGGGACACATCAAATCCCAAGGCATGAAAGGTCTGCTGCGACGCAATTTTTTCACCTGTGACTGAGCAAATAGGAGCTAACCAATCATGTTTTCAGATCTGGCTTATGGACGCGAAGCAAAGCTCCTGTGCAAGAAGATAGTTGCATTCTTTGCGTTGCTCTCGAAGACACAGGAAACTGGGGTACGCAAACTCGGAGTCACCCAGGAGCTCCTGTCATTGGTAACGGGCCTTGCGCATTATCTCAAGCTTCTGATCCGCATTGGCTTGCAAGGAGCTCTCAAACTTGAGAGAGAGCAACGAGCTTCCGAGGGTCTCCATAATTTCCTAGACCATTTGGGAGATTTAGAAGCACTTCGACCACCCGAAGAGGAAGAAACGCTTGCAGATCTAATGGCTGGGGTTGAAACTCTCGCTGACCAGCTTTCAGATTGCTGTGTGGCGTGCAAGGAACCTATTGATGATGAATGCATCATGTTGGGTGATAGCAGGTGGCATATGAAGCCGCCTCATTTAACTTGTGCGTCATGCCAAAAAGACCTCACGCATATGCTTCAGGATGCATTGTGGAACTCTAAGGAGAAGCGACCCTTTTGTAGAGATTGCGGCTCTCAAAAGGGGCTCATACAAGATGCACAAGTATTTTCACACATCACCAAACTTCAACAGTTTGTCTTCCTACTAAGGGTTGCTCTCGCGCGACTCCTCGCTGTTCTGCGAGCGGGTGGGACTCTGTTGCCTGCTTCTGGTATGTCATAGTGACCTTAGAACTTTTTCATCGGGACATCATTTTTTATTTCTCTGACATACGCTCTAGACGGTTCTCCTGCACAAGATGGCATGGAAAGTGGTCGCATCCCTGGGGGCGAGGTTCGTCGATCTGTCACTCGGTCCAAGTCGTATGCAAACGCGACTAGGAACGCTCCTGAAGGATCATCACTCGAACAAACCGTCGGCGAGATGCGACGTCTACGATCTATCCGAAACGAGCGTACACTGTCAACTACTTACAAGAAAGCTCGGGCGTCTCGAATTATCGATGGGCCAGAAGGCCGCAGCGTACGACCGGGTTCATCGGGCGGCGAAGGATCAGATTCGCGGGGTCATGGCTTTCAGATTGTAGAAGAAAAAGATGCCAACGGGGAAACGGTCACCGAGCTGACGTTTGGCAACCAGGATGCATTGACCTTGGACGATATCCCCAGAATCGTTGCTGCCGAGCAAGCCAAAGAACAACGCCCCAACGCCTACAAACACGCGGGGACCAAGCTAGTCGGCACCACTGAACCGCTCCCCAAGTACAATCATGGCCATCAGCGTGGCGTATCTGGCGCCGGCCTTGAGCAGCATATCATCGAACAAGGCGGTCGAACCAAGAAGTATTTCTCCGAGCTTTCCGCTCTGGAATACTTCATTGTCCGGCACGTTGCTGTCTTATCGATGGAGCCGCTATTAGACGGCTACTTCACTCTAGAGGAGCTCCTCTCCTTGATTGAATCGCGAAAACCCACCATATGGAACATCTTCGGTCGCGCCTTCAATAAGGAAGGCAAAAAGGTTGGAAAAAAGAAAGGCATGTTTGGTGTCAGTCTGGATTTCCTCGTCGACAAGGATGGCACAGAATCTAGCCATGGGGTGGGTCCAGGAGCACTTCGCGTTCCAGCCTTGGTAGACGACGCTGTGTCCGCCATGCGTCAGATGGACATGTCTGTGGAAGGTGTTTTCCGAAAGAACGGCAACATCAGACGTCTCAAAGACCTTTCCGAGCTGATCGACAATAAATATGAGCAAGTCGACATGACAAAGGAGAACCCTGTCCAGATTGCAGCTCTACTCAAGAAGTTCCTTCGCGAGATGCCCGACCCGCTTCTGACATTCAAGCTCCATCGCCTTTTTGTGGTTTCCCAAAGTAAGTGACGGATGTCCCCTTCCTGGTCTTGCAACGGGCCTTGCTTACCTCTCCCGCTGCAGAATTACCCGACATAGAGAAGCAAAAACGTATCTTGCACCTTACATGTTGCCTTCTTCCCAAGGCTCATCGGGATACCATGGAAGTTCTTTTTGCATTCCTCAACTGGACTTCGTCTTTCTCGCACGTCGACGAGGAGTCGGGAAGTAAGATGGACATACACAATCTGGCGACAGTAATGACACCCAACATTCTTTACCCCAATGCAAAAAATAGCACGGTGGACGAAAGCTTCCTGGCAATTGAAGCTGTTAATTGTCTAATAACATACAACGATACTATGTGTGAGGTATGCTTGGCCTTTTATTTCCCGCCCTGATCTTTGAGTGCTCATTTTTTTTCTTTCGGTTAGATACCCGAGGATCTACAATCAGTCCTCAGTGACACGAACTTCTTTAAGGAGAACACTGAAGTCACAACCAAAGAGATTCTCAGACGTTACGGTGACATTGCGCGCGGAAGCTTCTCATCCAAGGCAAGCAATGGTGGCGAAACCGTTACGATCACGAATTCGAACCGCGGGGCGAATATACCTACTTCTGCCCGTATCGAGACAGATCCCTCCCAGGATGCAGCATGGCAAATGCAAAGCTCAGTTCGCCATGTTCAAAGCCCCGGTGGGCATCAGCACTCGACCAGCGGTACTCCACAAACAGGCACGGAACTGGTGGGTCCCACACCATCGAATGATTATCGTGAACGAAGCCCCAGTAGTGGCAGCCAGCAGAATCCTATCCCAGCTGAGGGACAGTCTCAACCAATGCCGTACAGGCCTCGTCCAGGTGCTGGGCCCATGGGAGTTGCTGGCTAATTCTTGGCCACCTGTGTCCTCAGCGATAGCAACCCGTCTGTTACTTCTCTGCATAGTTTCGAAGACATTTACTGATGCATTACCCGCCTCTATATCCTTTGTACTCAAAGTGATTGCTATTGGCGTATTCTTGGGCCGTTCAGCGTTCTTTCGATTTAACAAGGTTGGATGGAGTTTGTTCTCCTTTCGAGATGAGATGATTTCCAGAGTTTACTTAGATGATCGGCTGATAGCTTCTCCTGATGGATTGAGGCTTTTCTAATTTCTTTTCTGTTTGCGCACTGACTGCGTGGAGTGCATTGCATTTGGTTGCGAGTTCCGACCCCTTAATTTGGATTCCAACCACGCGATTGGCTACAAGGGCCACTTTCGTCCGGTGTGGCTTGTCAGGCACAATTTCTGGGACTTGGGTGTTATCTTCCATTCTCCCTGCTTTTCCTCGTCTGGCCTTTTTTTCACTTGCATTCCAGTTGAGACCCAGCGTGGACAGTTCTCCTGACATCTCCTTTCATTTCTACTTTTCCTTACCTTACTTTCTTCGTGCCGGCGTTGCGCCTTTCTGACTTGCGATTGATCAAGATGTGAGACTATCGAGATCCTTTTTGCTTTGCGTTCATTTGCCAGCCAGTCCAAGGACTGCCAAGATACCTGTGCTGAGTCATACCTTCAATTCTCTTCTTTTCTTTACTTTTCTTCTTCTACCCCTTTTATTTACATTTTACCCATACGACCTACTTTGCTGATATCCCGAATTGTTCGTGTCTGGTTCTATCACATCCATGTCTCCATGTGATGCTGTTTCCTTAAAAACAAGAGGTGTAATTTACATACAGTTGTGAAAGAAGGAATGCCATAGTGCCAACCTGTTGAAGTACACATAGTTGAGTGCTGATTTTTGAACTCGTTTATACTCCGTAGCCCGTCTCCCTGCCTCGGATTGACCGGCTATCGGGGATCAATCCGTTCAAATTCGGGAAGTGTTAAGCCATGATAGACATATCCCAAGAGCTGGTGGATCGTCTTCAGCTAATGGCCAGCCATGATGGCCAGCCATGATGGTCAGTAGTATAGTAGTAGCAGCAATGTACTATGTGTCAAACAAGCCATTGGGAGCCAGAGCATGAATCATAGTACGCCGCAGCAATACTTGATTATATTGGATGAATTGCTTCCCTAAGCATTGCACTGCCAATGAAGCCAGTCGATAAAAGAAACTTGAGTAACTCGTTCCGAGAAGGCTATATGTATTCTGCATGTCGTACCTATCCCGTGTAAGGTACCAAAGAAGTCCAAATGATGTATATCAAAGTGGCATAAAGTCAAAGCCCCGAGATGAATCCAGTTGTTGGGGAGAATGTTCAATAAACAGAAAGGTTGTGAAGAAGAACAGTAAGAGCGGAAAGGCTCTGTAGTCAAAAAAGGGCTATTTGATAATTGTGCCAGCCCGATAGAACTCCAATTGTACACCAGCCACCGTCTCATTATAGTTCCTCCCAAAGGTAACACCACTTTACGCCGTGTCCGTCCCAATAAGTCAAAACAAAAACAGGCCAATTTGACGTGGGGGTTTAGTTTCATCTGATGTTACACATCTTAGGCGCGTTTCCGAAGAACTCTGCGGGCCGCTGTTGGGACTTCGCCTCCTGCCGGGGTAGGGGCCCTTTTGGTGGTGGCCGAAGTAGTGTTTCTTTTGGCGGCCGCAGAAGCTGCTTGGCTTCGAGCAATAGTCGTCTTCTTAGCAGTCGCGCTTGATGTCGATGCCGTGGTTGCCTTACGAGCGCCCGTGCCTGTCCGAGTTGGCTTGGCAACGGTTGTTCCGGAGGACGCGGAAGACGAGACGCTGCCTCTGCGCTCAAGCTGGCGCGTTGCGGGTCTTGGCAGTGGTGACCGCATCACTTTAGTTCCCGTGGCGGCTCGGCTGACGGGTCTCTTGGCCTGTGACGGGGGTCGGTTGTCCCTGATGGATGCGGAAGCACTTTTGACTGGTTGAATGCGAGGGTTATTTGCCAGTGCGGGGATGCTGGCTGATGTGGATTTGAGCGGGCTGGATGGCTTTAAAGGTGAGATGGGTCGTGCAAGGTAGGAAGAGTTCGTGGGCTTCTCAGGCGAGGCGCGCAGTGGCGATTGTGGGTATGTCCGTGAATTCGATGTCTTCGGGGAGAGAATCCTATAGTCTGCACCTCTCATTTCCTGCGATACCACTCTCGAAGTACCAGCAGCAGTGCCCGGCTTCCCACGTCGTTTGGGATTCTTCAGGACGTCGAGCGATTCCCCTGCTGCAGGAGCGTTTTCCTTGTCCGAATAAATTTCTCCGTGGCTGTATGGTCAGTTAGTCAGGCTCAGCAACGGACGGTAGCTGTAGAGATGTGCTTTGATCCCGCCTTACCTTTGTTTCTTTACCCTGCGGGCGCTGGGGCTTGCAGCAGAAGCCTTGTGCACCTTGGGGCTAACAGAGATGGTTGCGAAATTCCTTGGCGCTTTGGCCGGGCTGAGGAGTTTCCTCGGAGACGTATTCTCTTGTTGGGCTCGAAGAGAGGCCATATGTTTTTCCAACAGCTCGCCCATTGTCGCCTTTCGAAGAGCAATGGGAATTCGGTTGACGCGTCTCTCAATTCGCGCCCGGAGATCGTTCGCCTGGAGGGCATATTGTGCGCGAAGTTTGCGGGCGCGCTCGGTGACTATGACGATGTTAGTAGGTCGTAGTAAGAAAGGCTTGGTGTCGGGAAAGCGTACGTTCGAGCTGCAAGTTATCAATAAGAGCTTGTTTCTGGCTGCGTGTAATCCGAAGCTTCTTCTGGGGGGGACTGCCTGTCGGTGTCCTTGCTTCGTCATTGTGGGACGCGTCTTCGGGAGACTTGCGTTTGGCGGAGAGCGAAGCCATTGGGCGCAGTTAGGTGTACTCGGGATGGGCGATAGACCGGAGCGAGATGAGGGGAATAGTTGGGTGAGTTTCGTAGGATGGGTTGTGGGGGAGAAGTTGGGGACGGAAGGGATGGAATAGAGAAGGAGGGGGGCGCGTTGAAGGTCGTCTGGAGGAGAGGAGCGGATGGAGCATAAACAAGCGCTGACTTAATTCGTGGTTGGTTAGCTCCGATCGGGACGGTGTGACATCTGCGTCCTCGTCGCCAGCAGCAGCTTCATCATCATCCTTCCTCCTCCAACAACCCCATCCATTTCACCCCATCTCTCCTTGCTGCCACCCTCTGCTCTTAGACTTTGGCAAAACTCTACCCCCCTCTTGACTCCGATTTATTATACCCTCGATTTCTTTCCTAATTCACCCCCGCCTTCTCAGCCAAGATGTCGCTCGAAGCTACCATGATCGTGTCCGTCTAGCCACCTCCATCTCAAGCTCTGTACGCCCCTACTGATGCCATCTACAGTGTCGACAACAGCGAAAGCAGCAGGAACGGAGATTATACGTAAGTGCCTTGTGCTGAACCGCTCCGTGTCGACCGTCTGGTTCCGTCTAACAGCTGCCAGCTCGACACGATGGCAAGCTCAGATCGATGCCGTCAGCGTCATCCACACCACCAAAATGCGCGTACACCCCCAGTCCGCCGTCGGTCTCATGAGCATGGGCGGTAAGGGTCCTGAAGTTCTCTCAACATTCACCACCGACTTTGGTGGCATCCTGGCCGGTCTGCATCGCACGAAGATCCATGGCACTGCTCACCTTAGCTCCAGCATACAAGTGGCCGGTGTATGTCTCATTCCACCTCTTAGATATCTTTCCTCCGGGCTCTGCCATGAACATACTAACGGGTTGTCGACTGATGCAGCTTGCCCTCAAACACCGCTCCGAGAAGTCCCAGAAACAGCGCATCATCGTGTTTTCCTGCTCCCCCATCGAAGAAGACGAGAAGTCGTTAGTGAAGCTGGCCAAGAAGATGAAGAAGAACAATGTGTCCATCGACGTGATCGCTTTCGGGGACCTTGAATCCGACCAGACCAAGAAGCTGGAGGCTTTCGTCGAGAACGTCAAGGGTGGCGAGGGCTCCAACCTCGCCATCATTCCGCCCGGTCCCAACTTGCTTAGTGAGGAGCTTCAGCTTACTCCTATCCTGGGCGGAGATGGCGCTGATGCAGAGGGAGCCGGTCCCGAAGGCGGTGATGGTTCCTTTGGATTCGAGGATGCGGCCGAGAACGACCCCGAATTGGCTTTCGCCCTCCGTCTATCCCTGGAAGAGGAGAAGAACCGGCAAGAAAAGGAAAAGAGGGACCGGGAGGAACAAGAGCGCAAAGCGAACCTGGAGAACATCCCCGAGGAGGGCTCCAGCGGGAGCAAAGACAAGAAAGAGGACGGTGACAAGATGGACACCGCTTAGTGTGGAGACCAGAACAACCTCCTGGATGATTTGATGCATACCCGGCGTTTTAATGTACTTTGGTTTTATATTGTAATTGTAGAAAGCGGTTCCCGACGACACGCTTTTGAACGGATGCGGTATTATATGCAGTCTATCGCCATCGTAACAATTTTCCCCGATACAAACTATGACGCCCTGATATGTCATTCCAGCCGCGAAAATAAAGACAAAAATTCTGCCCACAACAATCACCCTACCCAGTAATTCATCAATCAACCCAATCCCCATCTTCACGGGATCAAATCGATCAATCAATCAATCACTCACTCAATCAAGCCCTCCCCCTCAACCACCCCTGCAAATTCCGATCAAAGGCCTCACACCTAACCGGCATCTCCAACTGATAAAACGGATTCTTCATCACAAAGTCCGCATACAACTCATAAATCTTCTTCATGACGACATCAATATTCGTCATTGTCGGTTCCGTAAACAACAAGAACTTGGTCCCCGTCAACGTCTGAAAACACGTTAACCGGAACTTATCCGTCTCTAGGGACTCGAGACCTGTTGCGGGGACTCCGGGGTTAGGGAATGTGTAGGATGTGGTGGATGAGGGCGTCGGGGTTGATGTGCTCGAGGGAGAGGCGATGTTGGGGGTTGTGGTGCTGGTGGGTGTTACGGGGGGGATGGTAGCGGCGAGGGGGAGTTTGGGGGTAATGGTGCGGGTGATTGCGTGGACTCTGGGGATGAGGTGGTTAGTCAGGTGGTTCTTTTTTCTTGATCGGATCTTGAGAATTGGAGGTTGGAAATTGGGGGGGAGGTAGATAGGTAGGTAGGTAGGTACCCGTGAAACGTGCCCGCCAGGACAAGGTAATCGTTTGTGGAGAGTTTGCGCAATCCCGGTTGGAATTCGCGCTGGTAGACTAGGCCGCCGGCTTTGTTGATGATTATGAGGGAGAAGACGGCCCTGAAACGAGAGGAAGGGTTCGTTAGCAGTGGGATTGTGAAGGGCGTTTGCATCCGGATTCACATTCACTTGTTGCGACGTACATTGCGGAGAGGGGGGTCGAGGAGTAGAGTGTTTCTGTGTCTGTGCTGGGGATCAGGATGTTGGCGCAGGCAGCATTAGTTGGGTTCGTTGGATCGGTTGGTGGGAAGGTTAGTAGTCGAGACAGATTCGTTTGGTATTTTGAGCATTCACATCGTAATCGTTGTCCGTGTCATCATAGCATGGGTGTTCTTTGCCCGAGACACATTGCGGAGCTGCGCCGCCGGCGCTGGTGTTGTTGGTTGGGGGTGGTGTCTATACTGCACCTGTTTGGGTGGCTTCACCGCCTGGGGCCTGAGGAGTGGGAGCCAATGGTGTGGGGCATGTCGTAGTTTGGGGTTGAGTTTTAGGTGGCTGTCTCGTTGCGTAAGTATGTGGGCAGGTTTTATGGGTATAGAATTACTCTTTTGGGGAGGTGATAATAAGTGGAGGCTTATATATTCCGGCTTTCACTGCAAATTCTGTCTATACTGTTTGTCTGCAACTGTTGCTGAAGTCCAAACATTAGCGTATCTTCCGCTTGGAAGTTGCAGTACGTCAAAGGCATTTATTTCCAGGGCAGGACATAAATTCTATACTTATTCTAATCATAATTAGTTTAGTGATGTGTACATATTGCTAGGATGGTTGGTTTCTAATCGCATGATTCCCTATACCTCCTACAAGTGGGTATGAGAGTGTCTGTTGATGAAGCCATCGATATTCACAGCTGAGAGACTCTATGCTCTCAGCCAGCTTTCATCTAACGTGCAATTATGGTAATCAAACAAACCATAAATCGTCGAATAGTTCGCAACATCAAGATAAAACAATGCAGCGTTCCCATGTAAAAATCACCAGATCCTAATCGCTCACAAAAATCAGAGTCATATATCCAACATCTCATCACCAACATAACACCAACGTATCAAGTATCTAAGGAGCCGCAACAACAGTCGAGACCTCAACCATATTCT